ACATTCTCTTTCTGGAAGGATTTTATTTTATTTTATTTTATTTTGACGTACTAAACTTTATTTATTTATTTAATTCTTACTTTTTATTGAACTGTTGTTGATTTATGATGTTAATTTCAGGTGTACAGCAAGGCGATTCAGTTATACACATACATACATATATATATATATATATATATATATATTTTCAGATTCTTTTCTGGAAGGTTTTTAGATCATTCTCGGGGATACCATTCTTCCCTCTCCTGCACAATTTTTCTCAGACTGCCCTTGTTCTCCATGGAGGCCTGCAGCTGGAATATGAACGAGAGTACACTGAGAGTTGATGTTTATTTTTCTACTTAAAGATAACGTGACTTTGGGCATTCTCTTTATTCTAGTTATGCTAAAGGTGTAGGTTTGGGTAATGTTATTCGTTCTTTCTTTCCTTTTCTTTTTTTGAAAGTGTGCTGGGGAAGTTGAATTGATGTAACCACCGTTACCTAACCTTGGTTGTCCAGAATTCCATTTCTTGAGTTTCATATCATTTATAGTATCTTTGGCTGTAAGTAACAAAGATGCTGGGCTTAGATTGGCTTAGAAAACAGGGAAACTCATTACTTTACCTGTAACAAGAAATTTGATGCAGGACGTCCCAGGCTTGGGACATCAGGGCTTCCTTTGGTGTATACTACCTTTGTCTTCAGGGAAGATGGCAACAGCAGTTTCAGAAGCACAAGGTCCAGGGTCTGTTGAGTCCTGGTGTGGATTGGATTCCCCATCCAATATGGCAGAATATGATGGAGGAAGCAGCTAGACAGATGGGGTTTTAGGAGAAGTCTGGCCTCTGATTCCATGGGGAACTTTGGCACACAAATGACACCACAGAGTTTGCCCTGAGGGAGATAGGACAAGGGGGCTTGATTCTGTATCTCTGTATCAGTCGTTGGTCACAACTGGGTTGCGTCACCACTCTTAAACAGTTACTATTGGGACAAACCCCACCACGATCAGCTGATTCGATAGACTGGTTGAGATGTACCCCTGGGGCTGGGGATGGTTCATCTTGCTCTACATCAAGTGAGAAAGGAGCAAATCCTGGAATAAGAATGAGATGCAGTTAGGAGACAATGGACATTGGGCAGGCGGCCAGCCATGTGTGTGGCAGATACCTGTCTTGTGCCAGGGTTGGGGCACGGTGGTGACACCCCCAACAAAGGGCCCGCTCTCCCAGCTCTTGGTCTATTCAGGAAGAAAGGCAATGAGAAAGCTGGGTTATCTAGGGTTCTGAGGTACTGTGACCACAGAGCAAGGTAAGGAAATAGAGATGTCTCAGAGGGGCTCCTTGACATCAGGTGGTGAGGAAAGTCTCGCTGGAGAGAACATTTGAGCTGAGGCCCATAATGTAAGGGGAGAAGAGGATTCTGATTGACAAAGGTATGGTGCCTCCTGAAGCCGAGAGGTGGGGACGTGTTGGTGTGACGTGAGGAGCAGTGGGGGTTCATGTGGTCAGACTGGAGCAGAGAGGGCAGCAGTAGCCAGGGAGACAACATTGGAGAGGGAGGTCGGACAGCAGCGTGTAGGTAATGATGAAGAGCACACTCAGGGCCCCACGGCGTGAGAGGAACCAGTGGAGGGCCTTGAGCAGAGGACTGGCTTGACCACTGACACATTTAAACTATCCTTTTCTTCTCTGCCAAGTGGAGCATGGGTTGTAAGAGGGCAACAGGGGAGGCAGGGAGGTCAGTGAGGAGACTAACTCTATCATCCAGGCTGGAGACGGTGGTGCAGGCTGGAGGCTGGGGCCAGGGCCACGGCTGAGGAGCAGGAGAGAAGCAGATCTGTTTAGGTTTTTTTGAGGTGGAACCAGAGACTGGCCCTTGGGTGAATGTGCCAAGTGCACACCCAGCAGAGGAGGAGGCAGCACGGCTCACCCAGGTTCGGCTTAATCAGCTGGGTGCGTGCTGCTGCTGACTGAGCTGAGGGAGACTGGGGAGGGGTGGGTGTGGGCCGGGATGGGGGGCAAGGAAGGCTTGATCTGGCATCGGGGGAGACCTCCCAGCGGAGATGTTGAGTGGGCAGTGGACACATGAGGGGAGATTTGCAGGTTCTCAGTGACTTCATGGACTGGGTGAGCTCCCCTGAAGAGAAAGAGTAGCCAGAGAAGGGGAAGGGTCTCAGGGCTGAGTCCCTGACAAGCCAACCATAGCAGTCAAGGAGGTGAGGGCAGAAGGGGAGCTGTGTGGAGAAAGCAGTGCAGGAATGGGGAGGGAGCCTCTGAGTCAAAGTGCTGAATGTCCAGTGAGCTGAGGACATCAGTGTCCTCTGCTCGGACAAGGCTGGGACCACGACATGCTCAGCTGGCATGGCCTTGTAGGTTGGGGAGGAGAGACTGGAAAGTGAGAGAGAGAAGAGGGCTAACTTTGTCATAAAGGGACAAAAAGAGATGGAAAAACCACAGGAGGGATTGCAGCTGAGGGACCATTCCTAATGATGGGAGACACCAGAGTGTGTGGGGGCCACTGGCAGGGGCCGGCAAAAAGCAGGAGGGACTGAGGTGGCTGGAAAGAGGCGGAGCCAGTGGGGCCCAGATCTAAGGGAGGCTTGTGATGGGCCTGCCTTCTATTGTAGGGGAAGGAGTGTCCAGAAAACAGGCCAGTTCTCGAGTGGGCAGGTGGGCAGAGATGACGTTGTTTATGTCTGTTGGGTTCTGACTTTGGGGTGAAGTATGAGGCAGTCATCCCTCTGGAGTGGATGGGCAAGTGTGGGGTTTGCAGAGAAGGTGAGAAAGTCTCTTCTAGGTTTGGGGGATGGAGTGCATTTCTAGGCCATATTGAGAGCCTTTTGAAGGTGAGACCTGTCCCCTGCCTGTGAAATTCTCCAGCAAAGTCCCTCTGTTCTGGTGAAACGTGGGCTGCAGGCAGTTGAGATTTCCTGGTGGTGTAGTTACTAGAGCTGAGGTGGTCAGGATCGCAGAGGTGGGATGGAGGGAGACATAATGGAAGGGATGATGTTGAGGAACAGAGAGGCTGTCCATAGGGAGGGGGGAGCCCAGCCAGGTGCCCGGCACAGAGTGGCATACAGGGAACATGTGCTCGGTAAGTGCGTAATGAATGAATGAGTGAATGAAGTGCCTTCAGAGGGTCTGCCTGTGTGAAGAGCATGGAGATGATGTGCAAGCTTACCCCAGGCCCAGTGTTCTGGACCTCAGAGCCTAGCTTAGGGATGAGGTGGAGGGTCACCTGGGGTCACCCACCTTTGGGCTCAGTCATGGTGTCACAGCTACCTTACTTAGCCTGGGTTCTCAGCACCAGTCTTCCAGGTGCTGACACACCGTAGGCACCCAGTAAACATTTGCTAAATGAAAGCAAAGGAACTCTGTGGCAAGTGCCCCTGTAGAGCCCTGAGCTACAGGCAGCGGGTAGGCAGCCCTCCAGTGCTTCCAGGCCCAGGCTCCCTGCCCCATACCTCTATTGCTCTGGGACCTTCCCTAGACTCTCAGGGACTGACATTGGCAACGGAAGACGGATATGTTCCTGAACAGAAACCAGCATAAGTGTAGAGTAGGGACTAGTGGCCAGGCTGCAGTGGGGCTGAGCCAGCCATTGGGCAGAGTGTCTGAGTGGCCAGTTTAGGGGAACAGAGGCTTTTTCCAAGTGTTTCATGGCTGACTTCTAGTATCTTCACTGCCTCACTGTTTACCCAGCAGACCCTCAGTGGGAGCCTGCCGGGCACCAGGTTCTGGGCCTCCCAAGGGCAGGGTCTCCACTCCTCCAGAAACGTGGTGTCACCTCCCCATTTCCTGGGGAGGAGCCTGAGGCCTAGAGGATCGGGCCACTTGCCCACTCTTGCTCCATTAGTGAAAGGCCAGACCGCCAAGCCCTTTCCTCATGATCCATGCCACCTGCATCCACATCCTAGCTGGGGTGTGAGAACCAGGAAGGTGAGGATGCAGAGAGTGATTGAAACCCAGGGCCAGGAGGTGAAAGTCAGGAGTGGCTTCTTAGAGGAAGTGGCACCTAAGCTGAGCCTGTGGGGCTGGGAAGGAGAGAAACACAGAAAGAGAGGACAGGCCAGGTGAAGGATGCTGTGGATCAGAGTTGGGCTCTGGGATAGCATGGGCCTCCTCCCATCAGCCTTCACAGCTGGTCACATGGGGCTCTGAGCCACAGACATGCTTTTGTTCATATTGTTATGTATGCACTCAACACCTGTGTACTGGGAATCCCTTAGAATACCAGGCCCTGTGCCAGGCTTTGCAGGAGTGACCATGAGATGGACACAACCTTCCCCTCACACTGTCCCTCACCCTGTGCTCACGGACCAGTGGGGAGCAAGAGTATAGAGACGGGAAGCACTTGGGAGCATAGATGGGGCGTGCCGTCATCCAGAGAGGGCAAAATATGCCCAGGACAGAAACCCGAAGGGAGGACCCTGGCTGGTCAGTAGGGGCTGGATCAATCAGAATGTGGCCACTAGAGGGGACAGTGTATGCAGAGGCTCTGAGGTGAGTGAGAACTCAGTGCCTCCGGGAACTGAGGGCTGCCTCTGGTTGGTGCTGGGTGGGAACAGGACAGCGGCTTGAGAGGAGGGTAAGGAGGGGCCAGAGCCAGCTAGAAGGGCCTCTTGGGTCCCAGTAAGAGGTTTGGCTTTACCCTAGAACCCAAGGGACCCAGGGATGGATTTTAAGCCAAAAAAAGAATGTGGTCAGATTTGAGTTCTGTGGGTAGGGGTAGGAGTGAAGAGACCAAGCCCTAGGGATGACACTGAGAAGTGGGAAGTAAAATGAGCAGACTCAGGGACTGATGTGACGCAGGGTTGGGGGGGTGGCATGAAAGAGGCATGACGAGTGCTGGTAGTGGGGGGCTGGGTAGGAGGTGTGCCCATGAATGCAGAGAGGAGGCCCCAAACTCATGTCCCCAAGTCCATGGCAGAGCAGAGCCTGGCCCCCAGCTGGCCTGCAGCATGGAAACGGTGTGTGGAGCCCCCCTGACCCCGCTCTCTCTGGTCTCCATGGGCAGGGTTCTGGAGCACCTCAGCAGTCTGTGCAGAGAAGTGAGCCTGGACTATGAGCGCAGCATGAACAAGATCAACTTTGATAAAATTGTCTCCTCCAAGCCTGAGACATTCTCCTATGTGACCCTGCCTGAGAAGGAGGAGGAGAAGGTGCCCAGGCAAGGTATGGCTGGACAAAGGCAGGCCCATGGCCACACCCCTGTCCGAGCCCCTCCCACCCCTCCCTCTAGGGCCTATACACCAACACCCACCTCTCCTGTCCCCAGCATTCCTCCCCTTCTTTCCCCAGCTGCCTGGAGAGCTGGGAGTGGGGGTTGGGGGTGGGTGGGGAGGAAGAAGGCTCTTTTAAGAACAGCGGTCTGAGTGATGTAGAAGCATCAGGGCAAATGTGGACTAGGAAAGGAATTGTCCAGAAGTGGTTGAAAAGAACTCTAATTTGCTGACCTACAGACTTATAGCCCTTTCTTTCTCCGGTAATGAGAGTAGGCTGGCATTGCTGCAGCCCCATTTGACCCATGGTAGACTGAGTCTCAAGAGTAGCACAAGCTCTCCTTGCTTTGAGCCCCCTGATCCCTGCGAATTTCATTTCCCAGCCCCAGCTTCCACGTGCATGAAGTGCCCTGGAAGCCAGGGTAGACTGTGGATCGTGGGCTCTCCCAGGGCCCTGGTGCCCACATCTTCCTTTCTTGGTGCTCCAGGGGAGGCCTCAGATAGGCCCCAGGGGTTGTGTGCAGGATGGGTGGGAGGGTGCGGGGAGGAAGCCCACAGTTCTCATCCACCTGGAAGGAGCCTGTGACCCACAGGGACCTGGAGGGAACTTGTTAACCCATCCCAGAGTGGGCACCTCACTGCAGGCCCTTGGGGTCCCCAGGTAAGCTGTGGGAAAGGAAGGGTTCTGGCGACATAGGCATCTCTTCCCTCCAGCAACACCCCTTAGATCTGCCCTGACCCCTGATATGTCCAAGGCCAATCTGACGCTGGCCCTTGGCATCCACCCCCGCAGGGTTGGTGAGTGTCCCCAAGTACCCCTTCCGGGAACAGAAGGCAGACTTCACCTTTGTATCCCTGCTTACACGGTCGGAGGTCATCACAGCCCTCAGCAAGGTGCGGGCCGAGTGCAACAAGGTGACTGCCATGTCCCTGTTCCATTCAAGCCTCTCCAAGTACAGCCGTCTGGAGGAGTTTGAGCAAATTCAGTCACAGACCTTCTCCCAGGTGTGTGGGCATCCCGGGCACAGAGGGCAGCAGCGGGCCAGGGCCTCAGAGCTGATGGGCACAGAACAGGGGCCCCAGGAAGCTCAGGGTGAGGCTGTGAGCCTGTGCTTTCCTTAAAACCAGCCCTTGTCTCTCCCTAGGCCTTGTGGAGGCTGGGGTGGGCGCCAAGGGAGGTGGTTCATCTTGGAGAGAAAAGGAGAACCAGGCTGGGCTCCCTTTCCAGTCATCTTCTGTCCCAACACTGGTGGCCCCTGAAGCAGACTCTCCATCTTGAAAAGGGGAGCAAGAACCCCTGCACCCCCATATCTACCTGAAGATTGGAGGGGTAGGGGGTTGGTGGGCAGCCTTGTGGGAGACAGGTGCCAGCTGGCCTAGGAGGAAAGCTCCTCCTCTCGGCTCCACTCTGCGCCTCGGTCACTCTCTGTCTCTCTGCTTCCTTCTCTGTGTCTCTGTGTCTCTCTCTTGGCTGGAGGGAAAGCCCTGCTTCTGCTGCCCCTCCCTCCCGCCTTTCCCGTCCCCGAGCAGCCCTGGTCCCCGGGGGTCACAGGGGTGTTCGTTGACCAGGCTTGGCAGTAAGTTAGGGTGGGAGAGATCCCTCTGTGGTCATCTGACTCCACAGAGTCCCGAGCGTGGTGGCTGCAGGTAGTAGGCCCCTCGGTCAGCCATGCGATACCACTTGTGGCTGCCACAGGTGCAGATGTTCCTCAAGGACAGCTGGATCAGCACACTCAAGGTGGCCATGCGCAGCAGCCTGCGTGACATGAGCAAGGGATGGTACAACCTGTACGAGACCAACTGGGAGGTATACCTCATGTCGAAGCTGCGCAAGCTGATGGAGCTGCTCAAGTACATGCTGCAGGACACGCTGCGCTTCCTGGTGCAGGACTCGCTCGCCAGCTTCTCGCAGTTCATCAGTGATGCCTGCTGCAGTGTGCTGGACTGCACCGACGACATGGTCTGGGGTGAAGACTTAATCATCAGCCCCTACAGGTGGGGCACGGCTGGGCGGAGGCACCTGTCGACACCAGAACTGTTCCTTGTCAAGCGCTGGTGCTACGTTGGTGCTGGGTGCAGAGTCAGGGGATGGGGGCAGCCAAGGTCAGGGTGCCCAGCACTGCAGGGTCCTGGATGGCAGGGGGAGCCTGGCTCCCACCCTAGTTGCTGGGAATGTCCTACCAGCTGTGGCTGGCATGTCTTCTGGTGGCCTACACCTCTCATCAGTCACTGAAATCCTCAGTGGAAAAATTTTTTGAGTACTTGCCATGAACCAGCAGGGTTCTAGGGGAACAAGAGGGGCATGGCCCCTGCCCTCACATGGGCACAGACAGCAAGCAAATAAATAATAGACAGTCATTGCTGATCTTGGCAGGGGCTGTGACAGACTGGGGCGGGGAGGAATTGCCATGAGGGTCAGGGAGGCAGTGGCATCTGAGCCAAGAACTGACTGAGAGGAAATCAGCCGTGAGGAGATGCTGGGGAGGGGACACCAGGTGGAGGGACCAATGTGTGCAGAGCCATGGAGGGGAGAAAGAACTTGGGGGCCTTGAGGAAGGGAAAGCCAGCAGCTACGGCTGGAGTGGGGAGGGCAAGGAGGGCTGGTGGACAACATGGGAGAGGTTGTAGGGACCAGGCCAGGTCACCCAGAGCCTCCTGGGGTCATGGTCGGGGGCTGGATTTATTCTAAGTATGGTCAGCAGCATCAGAGGGAAGTAACTATCCGCATTACATTCCAAAACCATGCTCTGGATTTGTGGGGACGAGTGAAGCAGAAGAGGAGTCAGACCAAGGCTCTTACCATTATCTGGACAAGGGGTGAGGGGGCTGGGACTGACTGTGGGCAAATCTGGGGCAGTGCATGGGCTGCAGTGCTGGGCAGCCCGGCTGCAGGAGGACGTGTAGGGGGAGGCAAGTAGAGGAGGAGATAGGGCTGACTCCCAGGGTCCACCCCAGCACCGAGCCCTGGCGGGGCTGGTGGGAGTCAGTGGACACAGAATATCTGAGATGCCCATTAGAGGTTAGGGTGGTGAGTGATTGGCAGTCCAGAGCACAGGTGGAGGCTTGTCTGTGGTCTAGGCTTGAGGGTTGTTGGCGTGTAACGGGCGTCCGGAGCCAAGCATGGTGTGCTCCCAGGGAGAGCGTGGGCATCGCAAGTGCCCAGGGTCTGGCCAACCTGCCCTAATGACCTCTGGACCGCGTGGAGGTCCTCCCTCTCCCTGGTGTCCATAGGCCCCTGGAAAGGGGCAGGAACGAAGGAGGCTGTTTGGCTGGTCTGGGTATTTTTCTCTGGTAAGTGGGAGGTTTCTGGGAAAAGAGTAGAAGTGAATCTCGTGCATGGAGAAGCTCAAGAACCATCCTGCTGGAAGCAAAGTCCGAGGGCTGGGCCTCCCATGTGCAAGCCTCTTCAGGCCCCTGCCCACAGTCCACCCTGCTACTTCTCCCATAGGCCACGGAAGAATCCCCTTTTCATCGTGGACCTAGTGCTGGACACCTCAGGGGTGCACTACAGCACGCCGCTGGAGCAGTTTGAAACTTCTCTGCTCAACCTCTTTGACAAGGGCATCCTGGCCACCCACGCGGTGCCCCAGCTGGAGAAGGTACAGCCACAGAGGCCTGGGGCCCTTGTGCCAGGATTGCCACAATGTCAGAGCACTTCAACTTAATAATGAGCCCACCACCTGGCTGGCGGTGTGCTCAGGCCTGTAATTCTTGAATAACTCATTTAATCCTCACCATAAGCTGAACTGGGAACCATTAACATCCCCATTTTGTGGATGAGGCTTGGAGAAGTTTCGCCCAAGGTCATATAGCTGCTAAAAGTCAGACCTGCGACTTAAACTAGTCTCACTCACTCACTCCTGCCACAGCCATGTGTGACCCAGATCCCACCCAGCTCCTGATCTCTCTTTTTTGCTCAAGATGTAGACACAGACCAACCTCCAAACTCAGGACCGCTTCTCAAAAGTCCCCATTCATCAGCACTGTTGTGCACAGTCTGCTACCCCAGGCCCAAGAGCCTCTATAACCCCCTGTCCTCTCCTGCCTCTTTTGCTGGTCACTCAGAGCCATCAGTGACCTGGTTGCCCCATCTTTTCCTTTCTTTGGCATGGGGCTGAGCCAGGCAAGACAGAGGAAGATGCTGCCCCTTGGTGGGCCCCTTGTCTTGTATTAGTCCCCAGCCCCTCTAAGAGACACGGAAACAAACCCTCTCTCCTGCCCCCTTACCATGCTCTCCGTGCTTGCCCACACCTCCAACCTCTCTGCCTGCCTCCCCCATGACTCATCCGGCTCTGTGCCCCTCCCCCTTCCTCTGCAGCTGGTGATGGAGGACATCTTCATCAGCGGCAACCCCCTGCTGGAGTCGGTGGGGCTTCATGAGCCGCTGGTGGAGGAGCTACGGGCCATCATCGCCAACGCTATCTGCAAGGCCATGATCCCACTGCAGGCCTACGCCAAGGAGTACAGGAAGTACCTGGAGCTAAACAACAATGATGTGGCCACTTTCCTCAAGTGCGTGCGTGTCCTGAGTGTGTCTGTGTATCTGTGTGACCCCTGCCCACCCTCTCACCACTCCCTGCCCCTCATGGGTGCCCACTGTCCACAGGGCCTCCCAGATGCAGTGCCCGTCAGCTGAGGAGGTGCGGGAGGTGGTGCTCACCCACCTGCAGGAGAAGGAGGTCCTGGACAGCTCGCTGCCCAGCAGCATCATCATTGGGCCCTTCTACATCAATGTTGACAACGTCAAGCAGAGCCTGTCCAAGAAGTGCAAGGCCCTGGCCACTTCCATGCTGGACATCCTGGCCAAGAACCTGCACAAGGAGGTGGATGATGTAAGTGTCCACCTGCCAGGCCGCAGCAACCACACCCACACGCCCCCTCACATACACGGTGAACTCCCACAAGCAAGGCTCAGGGGTGTCTGCAGACATCCAAGCCTGTGAAAGTATCTGGAAGTCACCTTGCCTTGACCCTGCCTGGGGTCAAATGGGAGGTCCTAGGAAGTGAGGGCTGCTGTGTTTTTCCCTGGACTTAGAAAGACCTGGGAACCCCTCAAAGGACACCCTGAGTTGAGTCATTTTGTGGAGCTGAGAGTGCAGGTGCAGGAGGCTGGGGAGGGGAGAGCACGCTAGGTGGCCCTCAGCCCTGCAGTGAGCTGTCTGGGAGTGCCCTTTCTCAGGATGCACTGCAGGAGGTGGTGGAGTGGGGGCAGTTCCCTGTCCAGGGACACTGGAACCAAGAAGGAGGAGCAGGCCCCAGGGAGGATAAGGGAGGGGCATGCGGCCTCCCTAGCGCCCTCTTCCACCTGGCAGATTTGTGAGGAGTTCCGCAGCATCAGCCGCAAGATCTATGAGAAGCCCAACAGCATCGAGGAGCTGGCTGAGCTCCGTGAGTGGATGAAGGGCATCCCGGAGAAACTGGTGGGGCTAGAGGTGAGGCAGGCACATGGGGCCTGGGGGCTAGGGACGGGCTGGGAGAGCAGGAGCTGGGAGGCTGGGAGTGAGGTAGACACACAGAGGATGGGTGGGCTCTGAGGGTAATGAGACTGGGTGCACGATGGAGATTCAGAGCTGTGCTGCCGGGGAGGTCAGGAGAGTGGAGGGTATGGTTAGGGGGCTGGAGGTTGGAGGTCTGGCGACCATGGCCCTTGGAGCCCTGAGCCCAATGCTGGCCTTGCATCCCACACCTCTGCCATTGCCCCAGGCCTCCTCTCTCTGAAAGAGAGCAGCCTCTCCCTAGCACCCAACCACTCTGGGGAGCCCCCACTTCCTAAGCTCACATAGTACTCATCACTGCCTGTCCCTGCAGGAGCGAATCATGAAGATCATGGACGACTACCAGGTCATGGATGAATTCCTTTACAACCTCAGCACAGATGACTTCAATGACAAGTGAGTGGGAGCTGGGTCCCCACAGCAGCCAGGTGGTGGACAGGAGGAGGTGGGGGAGGAATTGCTGAGCCATGGCGGCCAAGGGCGATGCGGGCACACCAGCAATGCCATGCAGAGATGCCAGAGGCCATGGCTCCACGCAGGCCAGGGCCAGGTGGCCAGTGGGGCACCTCTTGGTCGAGGGACTCTGGTGCCCCCCACCCTGTCTCCATTCTCTATTCTGTCATTGCCTGACACACATGTTCGCTGGGCCTGGGATACCCTTGTTTGTGGTTAGGGCCTTTGGAGGTCCTCGGGAGCACAGAAAGAAGGCAAAGCCCAGCCCAGTGGTCAGTCCCTGGGGAGGAGCACTTGTTCCCACTCAGCTGAGGAGCCTCATGGGAAACAGCCTCAGATTGGGACTGCCCTAATGAGGCCCAGAGACCCCTTGACCGGCCTGCCTCACAGGCAGGGATGCCTCCTGGTCACCAGGGCCTAGGAGAGACTGGCATTCTCCTGGGAGCCCTGCCCAGGGGCCCCAAGGCAGCTGCTTTCCCGAGCACTCATGGTGGGCCTACCCCAGGATCTGCAGCCCTAGGCCAGCTGCAGGCAGAATCCCTGAAGCCCACAGGCCCCCATGTCAGCCAGCAAAGGGAGTTGGTCTGACATGAAGGAAGCTGATCTGGGGGCCCTGGCTGGGCACGAAGGAAGTGCAGGCTAGAGGCTGTCCCTTTGCCTCATCTGAGGTGAGGCGCCTTCAGACCTGAGATTTAAGACGGAAACTCAGGATCCCTTCTCTCATTTCGGACACCACTCTCTCCTTGTCCCAATACCGCAGTGGACATGTTGGGTGTGCCTCTCCCTGGATGCTGACCATAGCTCCCAGCCCACAATCCCAGAGCAGGAACTGCCTCTCCTTCCAGGCAGACCTGCATGGCAGTGGTGACACTGACTGCCTCCCAACTCACGTCTGCTTCCCAGTTGCCTGGCCCTGACTGGCTCCAGCTACCACCCAGCTCCCCCATTCTCCCCTTAGCCCTGGCGTGCCCACCACACTATTTCATTGTGACAGTCCCCTCCCCCCATTCCCTACCCCTGCTCTATCCAGATGGGCTGCCAGCAATTGGCCTGCTAAGATCCTCGGACAGATAGAGATGGTGCGGCAGCAGCACATTGAAGATGAGGAGAAGTTCCGGAAAATCCAGATCATGGATCAGAACAACTTCCAGGAGAAACTAGAAGGGCTGCAGGTGGGGCAGGGCTGAGGGCTCTGTGGGGACTGGCTCCCCACCCCCCCTACAAGCATGCACGTGCGCACACACACACACCTCTCCAGGGCGGGGCCTCGCCCCTAGCAGTCAGGTGCTGTGTCAATGTTTGCTGGATTAATGAACAGAAAGGCACCTGGGCAGCAAGTTCTAGGAAAATTCAGGATAGTGAAGAGCCCCACCTCTTTTGTTGTGTCTTCGTGGCCCAGTGGGTGTTCAGGGCATTGGGTCTGCCTCCAACCTTGCTGTATTACTGTGGGGTGGTCAGCTGCTTGTGACAGGCCAGGAACTGCTCCAGGAAAAGAAAGCCCCCTCAGAACTGGGAGATGATGTCCTGGGGTCCTCAGGCTCCCTGGGTGTGCGTTGGGAGTTATGGGCCTAGGTTGGGGCATGGAGGCCTCTGACCCCTGGCTCCTTGGTCTGCAGCTGGTGGTAGCTGGCTTCTCCACCCACGTGGAGATTGTGCGAGCACATGAGATCGCCAATGAGGTGCGACGGGTCAAGAAGCAGCTGAAAGATTGCCAGCAGCTGGCGATGCTCTACAACAACCGCGAGCGCATCTTTGGCTTGCCCATCACCAATGTAGGGCTCCCCTGGGCACGCTGGCCCCCTGTTCTGGGAAGGGTTCAAGGAAGAGCCCCTGGCATTTGCAGCCACATGTGAGGCCAGCTGCCGGGTGGAAGGGCCCTGGCATTTGTGGGGCTGGATGGAGCAGGCTGCAGAGAGGAACTCACCTACCCCTGGCCCTCAGGGCAGGGAGGCTGGCTGGACCCAAGCAGGAGGCCTTGCTCAGCCACTCAGAGCCCAGAGCCCATGGAGGAAGGAGGAGGGGAGGTGAGGCCTGAGTCCACGGGGACAGCAGCCAGGAGCAAGGAGGGGGCCCAAGAAGGAGCAACCTGGAGAGACTGGGGAGCATCCTGACACAGCCCTGGCTCTTCTGCCCCTGCAGTATGACAAGCTCTCCAGGATGGTGAAGGAGTTCCAGCCCTACCTGGACCTCTGGACCACAGCCTCCGACTGGCTGCGCTGGTCTGAGAGCTGGATGAATGACCCCCTGTCAGCCATTGACGCGGAGCAGCTGGAGAAAAATGTCATCGAGTCCTTCAAGACAATGCACAAGTGCGTGAAGCAGTTCAAGGATGTCCCAGGTAGGCAGCCCAACCCACCTTTGCCCTCCTTCCCGGCCTTTGCCAGCTGCCTCTCACCCCTGCCTGCCCTGCCCCGCAGCCTGCCAGGACGTGGCCTTAGATATCCGGGCCCGCATCGAGGAGTTCAAGCCATACATCCCGCTGATCCAGGGGCTGCGCAACCCTGGCATGAGGAACAGGCACTGGGACGTGCTGTCCAATGAGATTAACATTAATGTCAGGCCTAAGGCCAACCTGACCTTCGCCCGCTGTCTTGAGATGAACCTGCAGGACCATATCGAGAGCATCAGCAAGGTGGCCGAGGTGGCCGGCAAGGAGTATGCCATCGAGCAGGTGGGCAGCCACCAGCAGGCCTGCTTTGCCCCACCCACATACTGCCCAATGGTATAGGAGGCTGACAGTCCCCGGCCCCATCCCTGGGGTCAGTCACCAGGTGCACGGATTGAGGTGCAGCCTATTAAGTGAGTTAATAATGTATGTGAAATGTTTAGCACAGTGTCCACCATCCCTGTTATTACTCAGTTATTCCTCTCAGAGTGCTTCCTCCTCCACAAAGGAGCCGATAGCATTACCCTCATTTAACAGGTGAGCAAATTAAGGTTCAGAGAGGTTCAGTAACTGGCCAGAGTGACATAGCCAGTTAAGCGCTAGAATTGGGACCAGAGCTCCTACCCAGCACCTTCGCTGCCTCCCAACATGCTTGTACATGCATGTTGTACAAGTGCACCACGTGTGAGAGCAAGTTGGCCTTGGATTCTGACGAGGACCTGTAGAGGGATTCATTGACCAGACAAGCTGAGAGCTGGCAGAACAGGGCCCAAGTGAAGGTCATGGCTGGGCAGAACCTGCCCTTCCCTGCCCAGCACCACTCAGACTGTGGATTAGCTCCTTCCTGGGACCCAGTCTTGACTTGTCCCACCCCAGGCACTGGACAAGATGGAGAAGGAGTGGTCTACCATCCTGTTCAATGTGATGCCCTACAAGGAGACAGAGACCTACATCCTCAAGAGCCCAGATGAGGCCTCACAGCTGCTCGATGACCACATCGTCATGACCCAGAGCATGTCCTTCTCGCCCTACAAGACGCCCTTCGAGCAGCGCATCAACTCCTGGGAGAACAAGCTGAAGCTGACCCAGGTGGGCCCTCCTGTCCCCCTCTTCCCACCCCCTCGAAACACCCTGTCCCAAGATGGCTCTTTGTGGTGTCTGGGTGGGGCTGGAAGTGATGAAGTGCCTTGCCCAGGTTTGCACAGGCCCTGGCTCTCTGGTAGGCCTCTCAGTCAGAGGAGGGGGACTAGAAGGGGGCTCCCTATCTCTGAGTTCAGCTGCTGGAGGAGGTAATTCAGGACATGGGGGTAGGCCCCCTCCCCCCAGTGTTTGGGCCAAAGCTGTGGTTAAGAAGGGGCATGAAAGCTGCCAGCAGACCCCTAAAGGGCTGCCTGGGCTTGAGATAATGTGTGCTTCCAGTCTCAAGACTTTTTGGGCTGGACATCACGAGGCCCTGAGCCTCCCACTCCCATCTTATTTGGAGCTGGCTTCAGGGTAAAGGTGCCAGGGCACTGGGGACTGCTGCTCAGGGCTCTCAAGACTGGTGGCCAGGCTACCTGCAGAGCCCTGGAGGTCAGTCCCAGGGCCAGGCCTCCAGGTGTGCTTCCGACAGCCCCTTCCCTGAGGTCTTCCTGGGAGCTATTCAGAAACCTCCAGTGAAGGCCAGTAGCTGAGTGAGGAGGGCTTCCTGTGTGCCCCTCGGATCACCCAGAGATGCCTGAGATTGCCAGCATTGTCCCTGAGTCTCTGTCCTTCACTCATGCTGTCCTCTCCAACTAGAGTTGCAACTTCTCCAGGGCTCAGCATCAAGTGGCCCTCACTGATTCCCCCACACCCACCTGCACAGTGCTCCCGTCGAGGCCCTTGGTAGATGCCTCTGACAGAGCTCATCACACATGCTGGGTCTTTGGTGATTCAGAGGCAGAACTGGTCGTTTAGTGGACTGTGGGCTCCTCAAGGGCAGGAACCACACCCCGTTCTCTATTTCCCTGGTGCCTACATGAATCTGGCAGGGGCCTGGCACAGAGCTGGCCACAGAACACGTCTCATGGAAAAGAACATGAACAAATGAATGAATGAGTTTGCACTGAGAGGAAAAGACAACAGATAAATTCAGAAAGGGGAATTTAGAGGCAGAGGGGAAAGTGTCTTGTTTTAAAGAAGTCTCACTCTTGGATTGATGTTTTAGAGAATATTTTAGGGATCTCAAGCTCAAGCCCCAGTATACCTCAAAGAATGCTGGGGACATAGACCCAGAGTCCTCCCAGGAGAGGAGATCGGTTCGGTCTTTCATGCACTGGACTCTCCTTGTTGCTTCAGGATTTGTTGGTTCAGGCATAGTTCTCTCATAAGGAAGAGCAGATCCCCTGCTCTGTTGGAGGCGTGAGCATCCTGTGAGGGCCTTGGGGTATCTCTGGAGGACAGGCATTCATGCAGGCTCTTTGTTCCCTGGAGCACTGTGACTGACAGCACCATCTGGAAATTTCCCATCGACACTGGCTCTGGTGCCCAGTGTTCTGCCCAGAACTCTGGTGGGATAAAATATCTAGGTTGTAGGGGACAGGACCCAACTTAGACTCCAAGCTCTGACAGTCCATGCCCTGTCCAGGAAGTACTGGAGGAGTGGCTGAACTGTCAGCGGGCTTGGCTCTACCTGGAGCCCATCTTCAGCTCTGAGGACATCAACCGACAGTTGCCAGTGGAGAGCAAGCGCTACCAGACAATGGAGCGCATCTGGAGGAAGATCATGAAGAATGCCTACGAGAACCGGGAGGTGAGCTCGCAAGTGGATGGGAGGGGGCAGCTGGGACCACTGGGGCACCTCCTGGTCTCACCTCTCCCTAACAAGAAAGACTGGAGAACAAGTCCAAGGCTTTGGTCTTGGCCTGTGTCCCCCTGAGTGAGCTCCCCAGTCTTGTGAGACACTCCTCAGAAGCACAACACTTGATGATTTTCCTCTTAGAGAATTGCAGTCCACATTAGTATTTCAAAGGCCCTGACAAGTCCTGTAGCAAAATCAAACTCGTCTTTGTTTAACCCTAGTTTTTTTGGCCATAGTTTTTTTTCTGTGGGACCGGCAGAGGTGATGGATGCAGCCCCTGGCCTGGGGACATTTTTCTGTCTCCACCCCTTCCCAAGTCCCACTGAGGGTCTCTAGGTGGCATGCATGGGTGCTCTGAGCCCACTTTGCTGCCTCCCAGTTGGTCCACACTCACTTCCAGTTTTTCTGACCCCGGCCACACAGGTGATCAATGTGTGCTCTGATCAGAGGCTGCTGGACAGCTTGCGGGACTGCAACAAGCTGCTGGACATGGTGCAGAAGGGCCTCAGCGAATACTTGGAGACCAAGCGGAGCGCCTTCGCCAGGTGGACACCACCGGGCCTACCCACAAGCTGGAGGGGTCCAGTACACCCCACCAGGCTGGGATGCAAGGATGTCAATAGTACTGGGGCAGCTGGGACCCAGGGGCTGCCTGACCCACTCTTCCCGTGGCAGATTCTACTTCCTGTCTGATGATGAGCTACTAGAGATCTTGTCCCAGGCGAAGGACCCCACAGCCGTGCAGCCCCACCTGCGCAAGTGCTTCGAGAACATTGCCCAGGTGGGTAACTGGGCCAGGGGCTCATGGAGGCATCTTCCCAGGGAGGATACCTCTTCTCTCACCCTAAGTCTTTTTAGCAGGAAATGAGGTGGCAGGTGAGATTCCTGACCCTAGGAGACATACCCCAGGGCCTGTGGGAGGAAAGTCAACTGCAGAAACCTTGGCTGAGGGTTGGGGGGCCCTTGGCTTGCAACTCCTCTGGGGGAGCCCTGTCCCCCCAGTGCACTGAGGTACTGGCTAGGTTGAGAGACCCATGAGGCCAGAGGTTCCTGACTCTCCTTGCCCTCATCCTCATCTACAAGGGAGGCCACACAGGCCCGAGCAGGAGGGTGACACACAGGGCAGGCTTAGCCTCCTTCTCCAAGTGGGCTAGGCCACAGCTGGGGACAAGGCAGACCCATTCTGCCCACAAGCAGTCAGGGAAGTCTCAGCCAAGGTAGATGCTCATGGGGCAGAACTCTCTTCTGAAGATGGAGGGCACAGTTGGTGTCAGCGGTGGGGCTGTGGTGGTCAGGGCCTCTGGGCACACCTGCGGTAACCCCTCTCGCTGCCCCCTGCCCACAGCTGCTGTTCCAGGAGGACCTGGAGATCACACATATGTACTCGGCGGAGGGTGAGGAGGTGCAGCTGTCCTTCTCCATCTACCCATCCAACAATGTGGAGGACTGGCTGCGGGAGGTGGAGCACAGCATGAAGGCCAGCGTGCGGGACATCATTGAGAGGGCCATCAAGGCCTACCCCACGGTGAGCTGTGCCTCCCCTCCCAGCGCAGCGTCCAAAACTGCTCGTCCTCCCATCTGCCCCTTTCCCAGTACCTCTCCGCTCCATCAAAGGGGCTGGGCTGCCTACCTGCCTCATCCTCAGATTACAGCCCTGACTCCAGTCAGCCAGAGGGTCTCTGGGGGCGGGGATCCTTGAGCCCACTCAGGGAGGAATCTGGAAACATGCTCCAGAAAGTGAGATTTTGAAGTGCTCACCGTGTGCCAGGGCCTGGGCTGGGGCTTCACCCACAGTACCTCTCTCAGCTCCACAATTGGCAGCTGGCCTGGGGTTTAAGCCTTATCCTGCCAAATCAGCTGAGAGATGTTTTCTGTTTTCTGCCCAAAGGGCATGTGATTGGCAGGTGGCAGTCAGGATTTGTACCCAGGACTGCGTGTTCCCCGATCCTGGGTTCCAACCCCTCTGCTTCCAGGTCTCCTCTGCTGAGGAGGTGATAACTCTGCCCAACCCCAAGAGGCCCAGAGCTTAATGCTTTTGAGGTGGAATTAACAACTTGAGCCGATAAGGACAGATGGCATTTAAGGGGAAAAGAGTGCAGGGTCGAGGCTGGCGGCTGCTTGGGTTAACCCTGCCTGTGTTGTCTTCCTAGATGCCCAGGACTCAGTGGGTTCTGAACTGGCCTGGCCAGGTGACCATTGCCGGGTGCCAGACCTACTGGACCATGGAGGTGGCAGAGGCACTGGAGGCCAGCAACCTCAGTAACCAGCTGTTTCCCCAGCTTGCCCGGCAGGTGGGAGTCAAGGGTGGGGGTCACCATCTGCTCCCCACAAACACCCCACACCCTGGAGGAGCCCAGTAACTACAGGAGCTTTGTCCTGTAATGATCCCAGAAGAGGTCCTGGGTTAGAATCAAAGAGTGGAAGGTCAGACACCCTTAAAATGAGTGTCTCATGACCAGTCATGTGGTAGGGATGGGGGCTCTGAGGCCAGGCAGGTACCCTTGTCCTGATGGTCAGGGTGGGAGCCTCATACCTGGAGCCCTCCTGGACTGTCCCGTGGCCTGTCCTCACTCTGTGCACCAGCTTCTCACCATACTCCTTCCTTGAGCTCCTCCCGAGGCCCACAACCTGGGCCTCAACACTGTACACGGCAGGGAGGCAGGTGCCATGTGTGTGCCTCTGTTTTTATTCACTTCCCTACCAGACTTCCCACATGACCAGTGCTCTGTCCTCCCTCCCCCTGCCTGGTCTCTGTACCCCTCACATCCCAAGCCATCAGAAACCCCCAAGGTAGAGGGCTGTTTCTGACAGAAACCCATCCTGTGTGCAAGGAAAGAGGAAGCCCACCTGCAGCGTGGCCCTGCCAACCCCTGACGGTGTCCCCTGACTCCTGCAGCTCAGTGACCTGGTGGCGCTGGTGCGGGGGAAGCTGTCCCGCATGCAACGAGCTGTGCTGTCGGCCTTAATCGTCATCGAGGTCCACGCCAAGGATGTGGTATACAAGCTGATCCAGGAGAACGTGGTCAGTGTGAATGACTTTGAGTGGATCTCTCAGCTAAGGTGAGGAGGCAGGCATCCTTGGCCCAGCCACGTCCAGGGCAAGGGCAGCAGCAGGAGGGGGCCAGGGAGGGTGGAGAGTCAACTACAACAGGCTGGTCCCTGCCCTAAAGGTCCTGGGGCAAGCTGGGTGGGGTGCCTTGGTGCTCTTATTCCCCCAGAGAACCACCTCTCCTCAACCACGTACCCTGCCCAGTGGCCCATGGTCCACACGGCCTGGGAACCCATCTCTTCGCAATGCCAGGTACTACTGGACCAATAACAACCTGTACATCCGGGCTGTGAATGCCGAGTTCATCTATGGCTATGAGTACCTAGGCAACAGTGGGAGGCTGGTGATCACGCCCCTCACAGACAGGTGAGCACTCTCCTTCCCACGCTGGACCCCTCCCTCCAGCTCTGGCTGGTCCAGGAGTCCGGGGTTCACACGATGCCGTCAGTCCACGATGAACCAGTTCTTCAAAGGTTAGGAGCTCAGGCTTTGGGTTCAAAACTGTCTCTGCCCACTGCAAGCTGAGCAATCTTGGGCAGGTAGCTAACCCCTCTGTGCCTCAGTTTCCTCTGCAGTCTCCTCAAGGTGGTTATGAGAGTTTCATAAGCTGACATGTAAAACTCTTAGCACTCGTGGTGCTCAGTTTGCATCTAACGGGTATGGGCTTCACTGACTATCAGTCAGATCCTCCTTCCAACCTGCCAGGGGAATTGATCTTGAGAGAAACAGTGGGTGAGTCCCTTTATAAGGTGAACACTTCTCTTCTAAAGTAGTCATTTCCTCTGGTGACCTCCATTTAGCCACGTACTGCAGGGCCTTGGGGTGGGGTGGGGGAACACTGGTCAGATGACCAAGGGCTCCCTCCACTCCTAACCCCAGCAACCAGGGCTGGGCACATCTGGGGCCTGGAGAGTCGGGGAGGAGCAGGATCTGCCCCTCCATGGGGTCCAAGACGGTAGGGGGCTCTCTCTCCCCATGTCTGTGGGACTCCAGAGGGAGGTGCATGGCTCATGCCCACCTCCTCTCACTCCTGCAGGTGCTACCTGACCTTGACTGGGGCCCTGCACCTCAAGTTTGGGGGTGCCCCCGCTGGCCCGGCTGGTACAGGGAAAACTGAGACCACCAAAGACCTGGGCAAGGCCTTGGCCATCCAGACCGTTGTGTTCAACTGCTCCGATCAGCTCGACTTCATGGCCATGGGCAAGTTCTTCAAGGGCCTGGCCAGGTGAGGCTGGGCATGCTGGTGGCACAAAACAGGGCAGGGAAGCTGAGCTTTCCTGGGGTCACTGTCCTAGAGGAGCCTCACGAGATGGTGGAGGGATGGGACAGGATAATAGGAGTCAAAGGCTCGGCTCCTGGAGGGTGCTGGGATGGGGTGGTGGGCGATAGGTTTGTGGCTGAGCTGATGGAGATGGCTGTTGAGGGCTTCTTCCCCAGCAGAGTCAGAGGGGTCCCTTGGAGATGCCGGAGGGGCTCTGAACTCATATCCCCCAATGTTTTCCCCTCACTTAGTGCTGGAGCCTGGGCTTGCTTTGATGAGTTCAATCGCATTGATATCGAGGTGCTATCTGTGGTGGCACAGCAGATCACCACCATCCAGAAGGCACAGCAGCAGCGGGTGAGCCTCCAGGGGTGCTACCCACCTCCACACCTCCTCCAAGTTGCCATTTTTTCACCTCAGTTAGACCCACCACGCTCACACCACCATGTGACTCCCCACACTGGCAGAGTTAGAAGCCAGGCACTTGGGCCTGCCCTGGGCCCAACCTCTCTCTTCTCACAGGGGCCTGGGCATGACCCCACACCCCTCTGGCAGAGCTGCCTCTGGGGGATTTTTGTGGCAATTCAGGGAGCCCCACATCCCCACCTCACTCTGGGCACATCTCCCAGGCCAAGTTGTGGTGGATGAAGGGGTCCTTCCCCACATCCTGAGCTTAATGAAAAGCCCCAGCCTTTGTTCCCTCCTCTAGCCTTATTCAGGGTGATCAGAGGTCTTCTTCCGAAGATCGGAGCTAGGAGGTTGGGCAGTGCCCCAGCCCCACCCCAGTAGGACTCTGGGTCCCAGTCAGAGCCAAACTTGCTCAGGTCTTGGGGGAATCAGTGCCAGGGATTGGGGGTGGAAGGAGTGGAAAGCAGGAGATGTGTGAAGACCTCAGGGAGCCAGGACCTGGAAGCCACTGGGACCAGAGGTTTTAGGCTAGATCCTGAGAGAGGAGCCAACCCATGGTCAGGGGTCCAGTCTAGGCTGACCAGCTATAGCCAGGACAGGGGCATCAATGAGGGGTGGGGGAAGGGCAACGAGAAGAGGGGGCAGGTGAGCCAACCCCTCCCACCTCCATAGGTGGAACGCTTCATGTTTGAAGGTGTTGAGATCCCACTTGTGCCCTCCTGCGCAGTGTTTATCACCATGAACCCGGGGTATGCCGGCCGCACTGAGCTGCCCGATAACCTGAAGGTAAGTTCAGGCCCATATTAGCCCAAGAGGCTGCCCAGGGCAATGGGAACCACCAGAGCTGTGACTTGGGCTCAGAGATGCTAAAGCATTTATGCAAGGACATACAGCTACTGGGCATCAGGGACTGAGATTCCACGTGGCAGCGCTCCTGCCCAGGGGTGGACAGGAGGGCCCAGGCTTGTCCTCAAGGCTTGGGAGAAGGTAAGGGGCAGGTTCCATTCAGCACAAAGGAATGGTTTCTGATGGGTAGAGGAGTCCCCCTGCAGGGGAGTATCAGCTGTGGCAGGTGTGGTGCAGGGAGAATCCAAGCATCAGCGGGGCAGTAAAGCTGCCTTCAGAGGACCAGACAGTCCAGGGAGCAGGTGGTGCTCTGGGAGGGGAGATTGGTCACACGTATACCATGTGCCCCAGGCGCTCTTCCGGCCCGTGGCCATGATGGTTCCAGATTATGCCATGATCGCTGAGATCTCCCTCTACTCCTTTGGCTTCAGTGAGGCCAATGTGCTGGCCAAGAAAATCACTACCACCTTCAAGCTGTCCTCAGAGCAGCTCAGTTCCCAGGTAAGGCCCTGCCCCAACCCAGTACTAGGGTCTAATAGCTGCTACCTGCCCTCAACGACCACAGGAGATAGGAATGACATCCCCATTTCTCAGCTGAGGACCCTGAGGTTCTAAGAAACTAAGAGCCCGGCCAGGCTTATGCAGCACAGGGGAGCTGGAACAAAAGCTAGGAACATGGACTAGTTCAGGTGCGAGGGAAGGTCAACCAGTAAGAGACCAAGAGACACACAACCCAAGGCTGGGGAGCAAGTGCCCCAAGGTCTCATGGAACCAGAATGAGATAGCCAGCCCCCTCCCTCTGCCCACCCCGACACAAGCCTCCCAACACCAGGGTCTTCCCTTCAGCATGTGGAGCCCAGGTTCTAGGGGCCAACGCTGTCTGTACAGGCACCAGCACTGGTGGGTGAGCTTTCCTGTTTGACTCCAATCTCAGGCAGGCGCCCCCTTTGCAGTGGCAGAGATGAGCCCCAGCTCTGGGCCTACATGCTAACAGCTTAGTTTCTCTTTCTTAATGGTTCCAGAAAAAGTCCCTGGTATCACCCTAATAGGCGCTCTCTGGGTGACCTGCTCCTGCATGAATACCCATCACTGTGGCCTGGGGGACCATACTGCCTTTGGTCAAGTGGGGCCTGCTGCATCCCATGGGCTAGAGGAGCAATCTGTTACTGGGAAAAACAGCTTCTGTCCACCACAGTGCACTGTGGGTGCCAGCACCTCCACACACCCTCCTTTCTAACCATCCACTTTCAAAAATGCAACTTCATTAGAGCAACTATCCTCACATGGTTCTGGAAATGCACTCAACCCTTCCCAAGTGCTAGTGATCCAAAGCCAAACCCAGTCTCTTCATGTAGCTCCAAGTCTAAGATTTCTGGGAAATGTGCTTGTCTGTGGGTCAGATCCAGGTGTAGCTCTCAGGGTCTGGCAAAATGGTAAGTTTAACCATCTCTAACACACCTGCTATATAATGGAGACCAATAGAACTGGTGGCAAAGGCAGGAAAAGCCACAGTGATGCGACCAAAAGGGTAGAACTAGAGAGATGTGATGAACATCAGAAGGAAGCTCAATGACCATCGAGGCCAGTCTGTTTATGGCACAGATTGGAAATTCCTTCATTCCCTTTTTGAACAAAACTTGAGTGCCTCCCTACCCTTGGTGCTTTACGGGGACCACAGGGATTTAGCTGTGGTCAAGGCAGACTCCTCACCCTCAGAGTGAAGGTGAAGAGTGAAGCAGGGATGCAGGATAAGTTACCTGATAAAGGGAAAGGGCCTCTGAGGTGGTGGAATAGAAGGCGCCAGAGGAACCCGAAGTGGGGCACCCAGCCCAGGCGGGGATGTGCGGGTAGGTGCAGATGGCCTGCAAGGGAAGTGACACTTCTGCTATGAGCTAGGCGATGAGGCATGGCTAGGTGCCAGGTTGGAGGGAGAGTGTTGCTGTCAGAAGCCCCGCGAGACATAGTGCCCACCCACCCCTCCCATGTACGGTGGTGACAGGATCACTATGACTTTGGGATGAGAGCTGTGAAGACCGTGATCTCGGCTGCCGGAAACCTCAAGCGAGAAAACCCCAGCATGAACGAGGTAAGCTGTGTCCAGAGAGGTGCCTGGGGAGGGAGGCTTCAGGGGGAGTCTGGAGCAGCTGGAGGGGCATCTGACCTGGGCCTCTGCTGCAGGAGCTGATTTGCCTCCGGGCCATCAGAGATGTGAATGTGCCCAAGTTCCTGCAGGAGGACCTCAGACTCTTCTCTGGGATCGTGTCTGATCTGTTCCCCACCATCAAGGAGGAGGAGACTGACTACGGCATCCTGGAAAAGGCCATTCGCAAGGCCTGCGAGAAGAACAATCTCAAGGACGTGGACGGTGAGCCCCTGTCCTGCCCCGCAGTCCTGTGGGTGTCAGAGGAGGGCTGGGTCTGGTCTCCCTGGGGTTGCAGTCCAGCCTCAGGCTCCCTCATAGCTGGCCAGGTGCTGTGGGCTGGGGCTCTCTGCCAAGCAGTCCACGGGCAATGCAGGTGCCCAGCCCTGTCTCCACTGGGATCCTTCAGGTGAGGTAATCTAGGAAAAAACTCCTTTTCCCTCATTCTCACTCTCACAACACTTCTGACACTGGATGTATGGTTTTCCTCCCCACATTCACTAATTCTCAGGCACAGCTAGGTGTCCTATTATTCAATTCAATCCTGACACTAATCGGAGTTAGCACAGACTCCACGGGTTAAGAGCTCAGTCCCACAAGACTGCTCCCACTTCAGACACCAGTTGCCAGTACTGGGTCCCCAGGTTACCCATAACTTCTGTCCCACTTGGGACAAATTAGAGGTCCCTGTAACCCTCTCCTCAGGCCTGATCATTTGCTAGGACAGCTCACAGAACTCAGGGAAACATGTACCTTTGCTGGTTTGTTATATAATAAAGGATGTGATCAAGGATACAGGTGAACAGCCAGATGAAGAGATACATAGAGCAAGGCCTGTCCCCATAGGATTGGGGTGAGTCCCAGCAATCTGGAAGCTCACCATTCCGGAAGATCTCCAAACCCCATAGTTAGGGGATTTTTTTTTGGAGGACTCATGACATACACATGATCACTTATTAACTCCACTGCCAGCCCCTCTCCTGTCTACGAAGAACAGGGGTAGGCCTGAAAGTTCCAAGCTTCTAATCATGGTTCAGTCTTTCTGGTAAACAGCCCCCTCCTAGGAGTTCACCACCAAGAGTTGCCTCATTGGGCAACAAGATGTTCCTAACACTTGGGAAATTACACAGGAGCTCTGTGTTAGGAACCAGAGACTACATATTGAAAAGGATGGTTCTTCTGGCACCCCTGTCTACAAGGGTTTGAGGGGCTGTGTGTCAGGAACCAGGGACAGAGACAATATGTGTATTGCTTATGATTTTGCAGTGGGGAAGCAGGTGCTGCCCTGCCCCCAGGCCTCTTGCTGTACCCCCTCCACCCTGAGTGAGGTGCAGTCACAGCTTGGACCACACCCTTACTCCTCCCTGACAGAGGATCTTCTCTGCCCCATCCTTACCTGCTTGGGGCAAGAATGGGGTTGGGTGTCAGGATTAGGGGAAGAGAATGAGCTGTGTCCTGTTCACACCTCCTGCCCCGTCCCATCCCAGCCAACCTCCACCTCTTTTGGAGCGAGGGCTCCACCCACATGCAGAGCACATGGCTGCACCTGCAGGACTTGGCCACTTCCCTGTGGAGCCACAGGCCTGGTGTCGAGTTAGTGCTGTCAGATGACTGGGTGGAAGCTTTGGGGCTGTGGTTGATTTGGAGGCCTGTGACAGCTGACACCGAGCCAGCATCAGTGGATGTTAAGGAATAATAGTCACAGTGGAAATCATGGCCGGCCGTTAGCAGAGAATTCCTACTCCGTGCCAGGCTCTGTGCTCAGGGCTTCATCTGTCTCTACCCATGAGGTTGGTACTACTGCCATCCCCACTTTACAGACAAGGAAACTGAGCCTCAGGGAGTGAGGTAACTCACCCGAGGTCACCCAGAAAGCTAGTGGCATTGTCAAGACCAAGCTAGTGGCAGACTCCTCCTCTGACCTCCGCCCCTCTACCCCCCCATGTCCCTCCAGGCTTCCTGACCAAGTGCATCCAGCTCTATGAGACCACTGTGGTGCGGCATGGCCTCATGCTCGTCGGGCCCACGGGCTCTGGCAAGAGTAATGTAAGCAGAGCCAAGCTGGGCGGCCCAGTGCCCAGACAGTGGGCCTGGGGACAGTGCGGCCTCAACAGGGGTCTTGGCCCCAACTTGTACCTGTAGAATTCCCCTCTAGAATCCCCCTCCTGCTCCCTGTGGCCCACAGCCTGCTCCAGCCCTCTCTCTGGGGAGCTAGGAGGCTCACTCTCCTCTGGCCTGTCTCCCCAGTGTTACAGGGTCCTGGCAGCTGCCATGACATTGCTGAAAGGACAGCCATCCATCAGCGGCGGTGTGTACGAGGCCGTCAACTACTACGTGCTCAACCCCAAGTCCATCACGATGGGCCAGCTGTATGGGGAGTTTGATCTGCTCACCCACGAGTGGTGAGTGGTGCCCATGTTCCCAGACCTCTGCAGGCTGTGGGCCAGGCCCTACCCGACCCCCCAGTCAAATGCCTGGGACTCTATCCACCACTTCCTCCTGAGTGACCCACTTCACCCCGCTGGGCCTTGCAAAGTGGGGATAAAGGAGAAAATGAACTTAACACATGGAGGGTTCCTAGGACAACATGGCACACGCCAAGTGCTCAGTAAATGCTGACTGTTGTCATTGCCCCACCAGAAGCTGGTGGTCCTTGGGCCTCTGCCCCTGGGCTGAGGCCTGCGTTTCAGGAGGGGTGTGCTAAGCTGGGAGAAGGCAGCAGGGTAGAGGTCCTCCAAACATCAGCATCTGTGGGTTTTCTCTGGGGCTATTCTGTCTCTCTAGAGAAGTCTCCAGTCTCCTGCTGGGGTGTCTGCTTGGTCCCAGTGTCCTGGGAACCCAGAAGGGGATGGGCACTTGAGAGGCACAGTCAGCACCTGTCTTTCTGAATATGGGCTTGTCCTGCTTCCCCCATTTCTGGTGAAGGGCCTCACCCACATCCACTCAGGCTCTTGTGTGGGTAGATGGGGGCTGGGGAGCAGACTAGAAAAATGCCCCCACCCACCCCCCCCTACCCACCCTCTTCCCTGGCATTTGGTGCCTCTGAAGTCTGAGCCTTCCTGGGTTCTGTGGCCAGAAACTAGATATATCTCACGACCTGCTTTCTCTGCCAGGTCGTTTACCTCTTCTCTGTCTCTGCCTGTCTTCCAGGGCTGTGGGAACCTCCATTTCTGTGTTGTCTCCTCCCCATCTTCCTTTTCTTTTGGGGATAATTACTTTTCATCTTCCTTTAACTATATCTTTAGTGAGGAATCAGTAGGGAGAGAATATAACCACACGTTTTCAGTACATCATATTACGTAAGAAAGTCCCATTTTCCCTACTATAATTTTTAAGTGAATGGAAGATATTGAAGAAGAAGGAAAAAAAAAGCAGAGCAGAGCCAGCCTGGATCCCTGGGAGCCAGCTGTACTTGCCACCCTGCCTCCCCTGTGCCTACAATGCTGTCCTCCCTGGTGGCTGCAGGACGGATGGGATCTTCTCCTCCCTGATCCGGGCAGGGGCCATCGCCTCCGACACCAACAAGAAATGGTACATGTTTGATGGGCCAGTGGACGCCGTCTGGATTGAGAACATGAACACAGTGCTGGACGACAACAAGAAGCTGTGCCTCAGCTCCGGGGAGATCATCAAGCTCACCGAGGTGTGTCCACCACTTCACTCACCCTGCTCCCCTCCACAGCTGCATGGGCCCAGAGGCTGCACCATGCTGGCCACGCCTCATCACCCTTCCCTCTTGGGCCCACAGCTCTATCTCAGGCAGTCCCCACGGTCCCCCCAGGAGCTGGCTCCCAATGCCCTCTGGTCCCCAGGCTTCTGCACCTCGGGCATGACCTACTCAACTGCTCAGCTTCGCCCTTTCCACAGACCCCTTTTCTGTGATGGTCTGAACCCAGGACCCTGATGACCACCCCACTGCAGTTGATGCTGCCTCGTGCCTCCCAGGCCCATTTGCAGCCGTATCAGTCCAGTCTGAGTTAGGCATCCTAGCAGCATGCCTGGAGTCTGTGGGACAGGTGGTACATACCTGGCCACAGGGACACCTGCCTGGTATGTAAAGGGCAGTTCTCAGAGAAGTAATGGTATTGCCTGTGGGTAAGAGCAGCAAATTTCTTGAGTCCTGAGAACACTTGGAAATCAGTGTGATCCTGTGTCCTTGTACACAGGTGTGGAGCTCTGGAGCACAGCACACAGCTTCCATCAGGTTTCCCCGGGGCTCCAGGGACCCCAAAATGCCCTGAACCCAGGCTGACCAAAGGGCTGCCAGGAATCTCCCGACTTTGATTCCTCCTCAGGGCTCCAGTGAGAGCCACATTATCAGCTAAGGGCCAAGGTTCTTTCATTCTCCCCACCCCAGCACTGCTTCTGGCCCATCACCTCCATGGCCTGCTCACTCTCGCAGGGTGGGCAACCCCTCCCCATGGCCCTGCAGCCCTTTCCCTGGCCCTGGGGGCTGGCATCCTGCCTACTCATGCAGTTCATCTTGGTGCCAGGCGATGACCATGATGTTTGAGGTGCAGGACCTGGCGGTGGCCTCCCCAGCCACAGTGTCCCGCTGCGGTATGGTGTACCTGGAGCCCAGCATCCTGGGACTCATGCCCTTTGTCGAGTGCTGGTTGAGGCGTCTCCCTGCCTTACTCAAGCCCTTTGAGGAACAGTTCAAGGCCCTCTTTGTCAGCTTCCTGGAGGTGAGTGAGGCCAAGGTGTGCCAGCCCCAGTGGAGCAGCAGGGCACTGTGGCCACCAACCTCCAGAGCTGGTGCCTATGCCCTGCAGGCATCCATCGCTTTTGTTCGGTTGTCAGTGAAGGAGGTGATCACCTCAACCAATAGCAACCTGACCATGAGTCTTCTCAAACTGCTGGACTGTTTCTTCAAACCTTTTCTGGCCAAAGAGGTACGGCTCTGAGCAGGGCTCTGAGCAGTGGGCTGGGGCCCAGCTCCCTCCTGCCCCTCGTCTCTCTTCACCTGAGCAGCTTGAAGGCCCTGAATCCCAAGTCCAACTTCCTGGAAGAGAGAAGAATCAGTTTGGCTCACATGAGTCACGGGATGCCCAGTCCAATCTGCTGCAGATGCGAAACTGCAGCAAAGGCCAAGGGATGCTCCTTAGGCCACTCAGTTCTGTTCCTGCCTCTGTCCCCAGGGCCTCAAGAAATTACCTCCCGAAAAGCTGAGTCGCATCCCAGAGCTGATCGAGCCTTGGTTCATCTTCTCCCTAGTCTGGAGTGTGGGTGCCACGGGGGACGGCTCCAGCCGCATGGGCTTCAGCCACTGGCTCAGAATCAAGATGAGAATAGAGAATGTGAGAGGCGGCAGTGCCTGGGGTTGGGCTTCAAGATCTGGGATGTGAGGGCTGAGTGCTGGGGCTGTCCCCCAGGCCCAGGCCCCCAGGCCCAAGGAGCCACAGAAGCTCCCAGGCCTCATTGCCTGGTTTTCCTCCTGGCCTCACAGCTGACCTTGCTCTTCCCGGAGGAGGGGCTGGTGTTCGATTACAGGCTAGAGGATGGTGGCATCAGCAGCACCAATGACGATGAGGATGAAGATGAGGAGGGCAGACAGGTGACTGCAGGCCTGCCCCCAGGGTCAGGACAGGGAGGGCCCCCCAGGGAGGTGGCTGTCCTCCTCGATGAGTAATGGCTACAGAGAGGACACATTGCTGGCCATAGGTCTCAGGCTGGGGTTATTTGCATCATCTCACGAATCCTCAAAGACCCACAGGCTAGTTGTTATTGTGCTCATTTCCCAGACAAGGATGTTGAGTCTCAGAATAGTCAGACCCACCTAGTCAGTACCAGAGCTGGACTTGAACCTGGGACTGGGTGATGTCAGAGTGCCTCCCTCCCTAGTCATAGGCACTGTCTCCCCTATGTTGATACTGAGCCTGAGGATTAATCAACTTGGTCCTACTTAAAAGCCCCATTTCCTCAGGAGCCGGGCTCCCTCAGAGCAAGGAAGCAAGCCCCCACAGCCTGCCTCTGTGTCTCTGTCCCTCTCAGCCAGCAAGGGCTCTGGGAGCCTTCCTTCATTCTGGAATCAGAAGCAGCCCAGCCCAGCCCAGCCCAGGAGGAGGAGGGGCCAGAAAGGGGTCTACAGTGATGGTCACCGCACAAAGTCTGCCAGGGTCTCATGGGGCATGTTTGAGTCTAAGCATCAGAACTGCCCCTAGTGGGACATGTTGGTTTGACCACAGTGAGCAACCCCATCTAGGGAGGAGTGCAAGTTGAGTCAGGGCTGTGGGTGAAGGGATTCTTGCAGTTGGGGATGATAGGGGAGACTGGACCAGGTGACCTCTCATCATCCAGGTGATGCCAGCACCCCTGGTTCTGGCCCCACACGCTTGGATAACCTCAGCTAAACAGCAAAGACTTTTTTATTCTGGATTGTCCAGTTTCCAGAGTACCTCCCTTGTGTAGATACCCACCACTAGAGGCAGCTGGATGCAGGGAAGCCTTCACTTGGGCAGCTGTGTGCAGAGAGAGCCCCTCAATCCTGGTGGTTTGTTCTGGGAGTCCCCCAACCTGTGCGGAGATCGGGGCATGGGACTTCCTACTTTTATCAGAAGCAGACCCTCACCTGGACTGTCTTGCTAAGGCCCAGCAGTGCAGCTCCTTGTCCTCCTGGTGCACTTGGCTGGAATGCAGGAATGGGGAGAGATTCCAGGCCCACCCCTGTGCCACCTCTGGTTCCAGGTTGCCTGGGTAAAGTGGATGGAACCCTCAGCTTCGTTCACCATAATGCCAGATACAAGCTACTGCGACATCATCGTGCCGACCATGGACACCATGCAGATGTCCTACCTGCTGGACATGCTACTCACCAACCACAAGCCTGTGAGTTCCCCTGCCATGCCCTGCCTCGCCCCACACCGGGGCCTGGGTCGGGGAGTGGCTGGCCTCCCACACCAACAGGGCGGCAGCTCCTACTATGTGCAGGGCCCTGTGAGAGTGCTCTGACTCCGTGCCCGACCCCTGCTTTCCTAGGTGCTGTGCATTGGGCCAACGGGCACAGGAAAGACCCTCACCATCTCCAACAAGCTTCTCAAGAAACTGCCGCTGGAATATGTCAGCCACTTCCTCACCTTCTCTGCCCGCACTTCAGCCAACCAAACCCAGGACCTCATCGACAGCAAGCTGGACAAGAGGCAGGCATCCTCATTCCTTCCTGGGTCCCGATGTCCCCTACCCTCGCTCAGCCAGCTGCTGTCTTCCCTCCCCTCCCCTCTGCCTGGGGGTGGGCCCTAGGCTCCTTTGCAGACTGCTCTGGAGCCTTCTTCCATCAGGAATTCCTGCTGAGCTCTTCTGTGGGTGCTCACCCTCCCCGGGCTGGCCACTTGGGTGGGGCTTGCTATCCATCTGCCTGGAGGCCAGACACAAGGCAGCCAGGTGTGATGTCGTAGGTTGCTGAGAATGGGATAAGTTGCTGTTCAAGAGGTCCAGCAATTGGGAGGAGGCTGAAGTTAGTGAAGTTAGGGCTTCCCAGAGGCGGAGCTGCCATCCTTGGGAATCCCCTAGGACCTGGAGCCCATGGGTGCTGCGCTCACACGGCTCCACCCCACAGGCGGAAGGGTGTGTTCGGGCCGCCCCTGGGGCGTAACTTCATCTTCTTTATCGATGACCTGAACATGCCGGCCTTGGAGACATATGGCGCCCAGCCACCCATTGAGTTATTGCGCCAGTGGATGGACCATGGCGGCTGGTATGACCGCAAGATCATTGGTGCGTGCCAGCTGGCCTGGGTCAGCGGGGCGGGCTGGGTGTGCTGGGCCGGACTGGGCACCTCACCTGTCAGGCACAGGGCCTAGGCCCACAGGACTTGTAGAGGGTCCACAGAAATGTTTTAATTTCTTTTAAACTCAGGAGAAAGTGAACTTTTAGGTCAAAGAACATTTTAAATGTATAATATTAATATATTTGTCTATGTATCAATACTTCTTGTAAATAATCATTTTTAATATTTTTTTAATGGAGGAGGAGGCCCACAAAGGCAAAAGTGCCCAGGGCCCGCAGAAGTCTTCATGTAGCCCTGAGCAGGGCCTTCTGACTTCCTGCCCCCTCTTCAGGAGCCTTCAAGAACCTGGTGGACATCAACTTTATCTGTGCCATGGGCCCCCCCGGTGGAGGCAGGAATGCCATCACCCCACGGCTTACCCGCCACTTCAATTACCTGTCCTTTGCTGAGATGGACGAGGTCAGCAAGAAGCGCATCTTCTCCACCATCCTGGGCAGTTGGATGGGTGAGTACTGGGCGAGAGTTGGGGAAGCCGTGGACTAAGGCAGAAGCCGAGGCTGGGTAAGCTAACCAAGGACAGCTGGGCAGTGCTAAAAAGGGTGGAGTGGCTGGACCACTGACCTCAGCCATGGCTTCCCCCCTTACTTGGCTGTGTTACCTTTGGCCAATTCAAGAACCTCTCTGAGCCTCAGTTTCTTCATCTGTAAAACGGATGGTAATATGGATGCCCACCACCCATATATGTGAAGATTAAATAAGTAAGACATTGTATGTAGAGCATCTAGCATAAGGCCTTGCACTTGTAACTGCTAGATATATGATTTATACATATGTATACATATGCATTCACCCATATAAGTACACATACATATGTCAAACGCTAGTGGAAGGGTGTGACTTTTGTAAATCAGGAAAAGCCACCAAGATAGAATGGACAGAGTGGCCCTGATCTTCCATGGGGCTTGAAGAAAAATCTGCCCCAGGATGCACCAGTCTACTTCCCACCTCACATATTCTCTGAACTTTGAACTCCGCTTGGCACTATGCCAGGTAGTGGGCACTGGGAGTCAGGCCTTCCTTCCTCTGACCTGGCCTGCCCTGCCCCCCAGGGCCTATAGGACTTGCCTACATGCCCAGCTTGGGAGTGAGGGTCTTGTGGCTCTGGGTAGGGGGTTGGTCAGTGGCTGCTCTGGGGCTGCCAGCTGGATGCAGCCAGCCAAGGTGGGTGGCAAGGTGTCCACCTAACTCTAAGCCCCATGTGTCTCCCTCAACCCTTTAGATGGACTTCTTGGAGAAAAGAGTTACCGGGAGCCCGTATGTAAGTGCAGGCCCTGGTGGGGCTTGGGAGGGCCTGGGTTGGGTGAAGGCATGGGTTCCAGGGTGAGCCCTGGACTCCAGTTGGATGTGGCTGGGGCTGAGTCCCAGGGGCCACACTGAACCATCCTGAGGGGGCCTTGGGCCACTGCTAGAGCAAAGGTCACCCTGGCACCAACAGCCTTCATAGGCTCGTTCACCAGTTCATATGGCCGGTCAGTCCTTCAGTGCCCAGTTAGTGCCCGGCCCATAGTAGATGCAAGATAAATGCCGGTTGAATGCATAAATAAAGGACTGACCGGCCATATAAACAGGTGAATGAGCCTTGAGTGCCCTCCTCACGGGGCCTCCCCAGCATTTATGTCAAACTCCCCAACCCTGGCTCTCCCCAAACCTCTCTCCACACATTTTCCATCCCCCGATCTGGTCAGAGTCTGTCTCTCCATAAGAATGTAAACTTGTTGGGAGTAGGAGTGTGTGTGCTGGGACAGCCTGCTCTGCCCGGCTCCTCGAACAGTCCCAGTCCCTGTGTTCATGGATGCGCCCCATTCTGGGGCTAGTGAGCCCTCCTGCCCTTTCTTCCCTTTTTCCCTCTTCTTGGGGCTCCCTCTGCCCCCAATTCCCACTGACAGAATTTTGGTTCCCAGCAAAGAATTAGGTAGTTTTCAAAGCACAAGCAAATAGGTTATGTTAGTGGTGAAAATGGAAGGGGGTGATAAGCCCCCAAGGTCACGGCTGAGCCCCAGGCTTCCATGTCCATGGCCGCGCACTCCTGAAGCCCTTGTGGGCCGTGGGACCCTCCCTGCACGTGGCCCAGAGGGGACATTTCAGGTCTGGGACATGGCCCCGTAGCGCGAGGCAGTAAAGGCCCCACCAGCACTGACCTTGTTAGTGTCACCAATTCCATGAATGTGTCCCAGTGCCCCAACACATGGACAGGCTATGTCAGTTATAAGGATGTAAAAGGGGGTAGCTCCATGCGAGAGATCCCTCACCCCATGGAGGATTTCAGGAAGATCTTGTTGGGGAGTAGCATCTGAGAGGGCTGCAGGGTTGGAGGATCCAAGCCTGCAGGCCGGGGAAGGGGCATCTGCGTACAGCACAGCTCTGGATCTGCAGGGACTGCACAGGGAGTTCTTCCCCATGTGACCCAGACCCATTCTTCTACTCCCACAGCTGGGGCCCCCAACATCGCCCACTTCACGGATCCCCTCGTGGAAGCCACCATCAATGTGTACTCCACCATCACCTCCCAGCTTCTGCCTACCCCGGCCAAGTCCCACTACACCTTCAACCTGAGGGACCTCTCCAAGGTCTTCCAGGGCATGCTCATGGCTGACCCGGCCAAGGTTGAGGTGAGGACCTGGTGGGCCCCTTCCCCAGTGTCCAGCACTAGCCCTCACAGTCCTCCTTGGCCCCCAGTTTTAGGCCTTCCTGCCCAAACCCTCCCCAGCTATGATCTGGCCAGGCCCTAGGGCAGGGAGCAGAGCTGGGGACATGCCGTGGCAGGCGCCAAGCCCCCAGGAGCTCTGCCTTCATGCAGCTGAGTCCCATCTTGCAGATGAAATCCATGCCTAGAATGGTGGCTGTGATGTGGTCACACAAAAGCAGGAGCCAGGACAAGACAAGGGAGGGAGGGTTCCTGATGGAGGCCCTGGTTGTGAGAAGACTGGGGATAAGAGTGACTGGGATGCCTTCCAGGAACCAAAGGCACCAGGTGGGAGGAGCAGGAAGTGTAGCAGGAAGTGGAGTGTCAGGTGTGCTGGGTGAGTTGGGGCAGGCTCTGTGGGCTGCAGAGAGGCAGCATCCTGAAGTTGTGAAGGGAGCCAGGGGTGGGTGGGAGGCAGATTTGCACTTTGGGATGGGGAGTGGAAGGGACAGTGTGTGTGGAGTCCAGGGTCAAGGGGACAGGGTGAGCAGAACAGACTCCAGCCCTGGCCTTACCCAGCTCTAGCCAAGGGAGTCGATTGAAGAGCTTGGGGGCTTCCTGAGGGTGGTCAAGTCACCCAGGGAGAGGCAGGGAAGCTGACATGGAGGTAGCAACAGAGACGGGGCTTTGGGAGTCAGGCGAGTGGGGCTTGCTGAATGGTTAGATGTGGAGATAAAAGGAGAATCAGGCATTCCTCCCAGGCTTGGGATTTAGGGAGCTGTGAGGACCCTCAGAGGGGAGAAGTGATGACCAGCTAAAGGAGCCAGGTGCCTAGTAGGCACTTGGCCAACTGGGCCTGGAGCTGAGGGTGGAGAGGCCCAGGCAGCAGCGTGTGGATTCCACTGTCCATTAGTCAGCAGACACACAGGGCTCTGGCCAAGTCTCGGTGGGGGAGTCAGGCCCAGGTCAGGACCTCTGATGCTTTGAGAGGGGACTGAGGTGTAGGGCCAAGGCGGCCTCTGATGCTGGGGTGGCCGCAGGACGAGGTGCAGCTGCTGCGCCTGTGGTACCATGAGAACTGCCGCGTGTTCCGTGATCGCCTGGTGAATGAGGAGGACCGCAGCTGGTTCGACAAGCTCCTGGAGAGCCACATGGAGCAGTGGGAGGTGGCCTTCGAAGAGGTCTGCCCCTTCCAGCCCATCCTCTATGGGGACTTCATGTCGCCAGGCTCCGACGTCAAGTCCTACGAGCTCATCACCAGCGAGAAGAAAGTAAGGGGGCCTGCCGGGGCCCTACCCCTGATTCCCTGGGACCTCTGCAGCCATTGCTAAGAGACTACAGTGCTATTATTACTGGAGGGTCAGATGCTGATTTAGAAGGCCCGATCAGGGACTTCAGGCCAGCAATTTCCTTTCTGCGTCCCCGTTTCCTTGCCTGTTAAGTGGGTGCAGTAGGCCCTGCTTGGCCCTTTCCTGAGGACAAGTCTGTGATTCATTTGAGACAGGCTCTGTAAACAGGGACACACTCTATCCATTTGAGGGGTTACCATCCCACCCACAGAGCGGCAGCAGGACCCCTGGGGCCACGAGTCTTGAGTTAAGGTCCCAGGGTGGCAGGATTAGGCTGGAGTGGGTGGGCCTCCTGGTGGTTTCTCCCCACACACACATCCCTTCCTAGTTCCCAGGAGCTCCCATGGGGTTCCAGGTTGCTATATCCTGGTGAGCCCCAGAGAAAGCAGGTAAATCTCTGACCCTGACTCTCAGGCCTCTGTGTGTCTGATGAGTCAGGCCTCATTCGGGTGGACCTGGCTTCTTAAGGCCCACCACCCCTCTGCACAGAGAAACAGGGCTGGCTATGGGAGCGGGTGTGCTCCCTGTCGGGGAGGGGCTTGTGCATGGGGACAGAGGGAGGACCCAGCTCTCCCCATTCTGCGGTCGCCCAGATGATGCAGGTGATCGAGGAGTACATGGAGGACTACAACCAGATCAACACAGCCAAGTTGAGGCTGGTCCTCTTCATGGACGCCATGAGCCACATCTGCCGCATCAGCCGCACCCTGCGCCAGGCACTGGGCAATGCGCTTCTGCTGGGCGTGGGCGGCAGCGGCCGCAGCTCCCTCACGCGGCTGGCCTCCCACATGTGAGGGCCCTCAGGCATGGTGGGCAGTGGGTAGCTGGTGTCAGACTGTCCATTCCATCCATATTCTGCCTTGAGGCAGACCCACCCGGCCATGGGCTTCTGGAAGTCCTGGGAGTGGAACCTGGACTCCAAGGAGAGGCAGCAGCAGTGCCCTGTGGTCCTGTAGGGAGGAGTGGGTAGCCACAGGCATCCAAGAGGGCTTCCTGAAGGAGGTGGCCCTGGGTCTTCTTTCTGAATCAGAGCTGGGAGTGTGGAAGGGAAGGGTATTCCAGGCAGAGGAAGTATCCTCAGCAAAGGTCTGGAGGCAAGAGAGTAGGTTCAGGGCTGGGAGAGTCTGTAGTCTGCCCAAGATGGGAGCAAGATTCCGGATGGTTGGGCGGGGCGTGGGCACCACCAGCCTCTCAGCCCTTGGCCTCCAGCTCTGGCACACCTCCCCCCAAACAAACACTTGTTTCCAGGGCCGAGTACGAGTGCTTCCAGATTGAGCTGTCCAAGAACTATGGCATGACTGAGTGGCGTGATGATGTCAAGAAGGTCTTGCTCAAGGCTGGTCTGCACAGCCTGCCCATCACCTTCCTGTTCTCAGATACCCAGGTGCCACCACCATGGGCAGTGGGCAGGATCTGGGGTGGGCTGGATACAATGCACCCCAGTGTGGCATCCTGGAAAGTGGTCAGTTCTTCCTGCCCAGATCACTGTCAGTCAGGGTAGATCTTGGGAGGAATGGCTAGGACTGGGGGGAGGGGGCCAAACCCAGACTGGCAGAGCTGGGGGCACATGGATCATTGCGATGCCCCAAGGGTAAAAAAGGCCCCTGGCACCATGGCTGACCACGTGCAGGACCACACTCACTGGTCAACGGTTTCCCACTTCCGGGACCACAGGACTTGTGCCCGAAGTGCTGTGCCCACAGCTACACTCTTGAGGGTGGTTCCCTTTTGAGTTCTTTCAGCATGAGGCCTCCTCCCAGGTCTGAGAGGAGAGGTATGGGTCTGGGGCCTCAAGACAAATAGGGCAGCACTTAAACCTGGCTGGTGGTGGGGACTGGCTGAAGCTGAAGGCCCAGAAGCTGCCCTGCCCTGGGCAGGGGCCCCTCCGCTTCCAGCCCTGTATCTACCCCCGGGCTCCCCTCATGTGGTCAGGCAAGTAGGGTGCCCTCTGGCGCTGGCCAGGCCCTGGCCATGTGAGATGGGCGAGGACCTACCTGTTCCTGCCTGTGGCCTGGCTTCCTCCTGTGAATAAACAGAGGCACAGGGAGGCCTGGTGAGTGAGGAGGAAGACGCCACATCTCCCACCCAGCACCCAGGGCCCTTCCATAGCCGAGTCGTGATGTTCAGAGTCTCTGCTGTAGGGTGGGCCTGGGGTGAGTGCTAGACCACAGCTGGTGAGTCACTTATTTGACCCTGGGCTTCTCTGAGTCTGAGGGTCATGGTCTGAGAAGAGGGCTGCTGTGCAGGTCCAGTGAGACCACCGTCATGGACCTTAACACCCAGGGGCCATCATCAAGACTCAGCTCCTCCATCCTTGTCTTTCATCAGATCAAGAATGAGTCTTTCCTGGAAGACATCAACAATGTCCTGAACTCAGGTGACATTCCCAACCTCTACACTTTGGATGAGCAGGACCAGATTGTCAACACCATGCGGCCCTACATCCAGGAACAGGGCCTGCAGCCCACCAAGGCCAACCTCATGGCCGCCTACACCAGGCACATACGCAGCAACATCCACGTGGTGCTGTGCATGAGGTACAGGCGGCTGTCACAGCCACACAGGGACAACGGGTTGAGCAGGGCTGCAGCTGGACCCGACACCGGGGGATGTGGCCTGGGCCTGGCCACCATGCCCTTGGGTCCAGGCTGCTGTGCTACTGTGTTCCAGCAGCCCTGGGTCCTGGTTCCTGGGGGTGTAAGTCAGGGTCTTGGGGCCTCATTTAGACCCCGATCCCGCAGCCCCATTGGAGAGGCCTTCCGAGCTCGCCTGAGGCAGTTCCCCTCCCTGGTCAACTGCTGCACCATCGATTGGTTTAATGAGTGGCCAGCAGAGGCCCTGGAGTCTGTGGCCACCACGTTCCTGAATGAGATCCCGGAGCTGGAAGCCTCCTCCAAAATAACTGAAGGACTGGTAGGTCTCTCGGTGAGGAGCAAGCCTTTGAAGGGAGCTGTTTAGGTTTGGGTTTGGGGTCCCCAGGGCCTGATTAAGAGTCCCAGGCCCAACACTGATGGTAAGTTTTTGGGCAGACAGCTTTACCTGTCTAAGCCTCAGTTTCCTCCTCTGTATAATGGGAGTGTCATAAGGTTGTCACAATGATGTAGGAGGCTGGGCATACAGTTACACAGTCACTGTTTATCTTATTCCCTGAGGGCTCCGTGGCAGCTGTCTTCAAAGACCCCCCTGATAAAACCCAAAGATCACAGATTGGAGGTGGGGGGCTAGATTTGTCTTGTCCAAGCTGAGAAAGTAATGATCACATGAGGACCAACAGCTAGGGTGAGCCTATTTCTCCCTGGCTGTGCTGAGGCCTTGGGCCCTCCCTCCCCCCAGATCCATCCTCTGAGAGGGGCCCCACCTTAGGGCTTTCCAAAAGAGGCAGGTCATGGTGGCTGTGACAAGGGCACTGGGCCAAGGGCTGGGAGACACCTGGGTCCAAGTTCAAAGCCAACTCTGCCCTTGACAACTGTGTTTACTTGAACAAGCCCCTTGACTTCTCTGGGTTGTGGGATTTTTATCCACAGAATAAGTGACTTTGACCAGCAGGTCACAAGGATCACAGGAGAGAGTGAGTGTTAGGGGCATTGAGGTTCCTGCACATGGCTCCCTCCCCAGGACCAGGCTGCAGTGGCTTCAAGGGCATCATCTCTGCTGCGGGCTCTACAAGGCTGGCATCAGTGGTCTCCTTCCCCACAGATTCAAGTGTGTGTGTATATCCACCAATCGGTGGCCAAGAAGTGTGTCGAGTACCTGGCTGAGCTGGCCCACCACAACTATGTGACCCCCAAGAGCTACCTGGAACTGCTCAATATTTTCTCCATCCTCATCAGGCAGAAGAAACAGGAGCTGAAAACTGCCAAGAACCGCATGAAGAGTGGCCTTGACAAGGTGGTCCAGGGTGGGGCCTGTGGGCAGTGGCTAGTTGCCTGTGGTTCTGCCCACTGTGTCTCAGCCCTAGCCCTGGAGGTCCATCCTAGCCTTTCAATTGGCAGCCCACAGTGTTTAAATGTGTAGCTTCCTTCCTCGCCAAAAGAGTAAAAGCTGCAGGCCAAAGCAGGTCACCCCACAGATTCTCAAGGGACTTCCTTCCTCTGGGGTCCACTGGGCAACCTGGGGGCCACTCAAGCTGCCGGCCACAGCTTCTCACTCATGAAACCCTGTCCAGGCCCAGCTCTCTCTCTGGTCCCCATTACATCTGATTTCCTCTCCCTGCCCCTCACTCCCCAGCTGCTACGCACTTCAGAGGATGTGGCCAAGATGCAGGAGGAGCTGGAGGTTGTGCGCCCCCTGCTGGAGGAGGCTGCCAAGGACACCACACTCACCATGGAGCAGATCAAGGTTGGGGGTTGCTCTGGGAGCCCTCTCCCTGATGGCTGACTGTATCTGAGGATGCTCGACATCTCCACGCAATCACAGGATTGATAGCTGCCCGGCCTCTGCAGATTGCTTGGCGTCTTGATGCCCAGTTCCCTCATTCAGTCATGTGTTTATCCAACAAAAGCTTGCTCAGACTCTATCCTATGCCGGGCACTGTCCTGGGCAGGGGACATAGGGGTGAGCAAGACAGACAAATCCAAACCCCGATAATCACAACATGGACCAGTGGCAGGGCTGTCACAGGCAGCCATGGAGAATCTGCCTGAGTCTCCCTCTGAGGTCCTCTGAGTCTACACGAGGGCCCCCACATTCTAGGGCCAGTCCCCACAGCTGTCGGCACAGGTTTGCATATTCTTGATGGCAGCTCTCTGGCAGAGGCTGTCACGTCCTGCTCTACAAAGTCAGGAGATATATTTGTATTGGGATTTTTCCATGTATTGGAAAAAATTCTATGTATTTTTATGTATTGAGATTTTTCCAGCAGACAGAAAGAAAGAGTCTTGTGGGAGGACCCCCTTTCTCTATCTTGCATGGAGGTGCCCTGTGGGTTTAGGGGGTCCTGCCCGTGGGGCGGTTATGCTGAAGCATGTGAAGCCCCTCCGAGCCCCATGCCAGGCCCATGGTGAGTACTTGGGATTGGAAGGGGCTCCAGATCTCCCTGGCCTGTCACAGCCTAGAGGGCCCTTGGAGAATAGGGCATTCCAACCCTCATTCCCTTCCATCTGGGGAGACTGAGACACAAAGAAGAGACAGGGGAGGGGGACACACCTGACACTGGCCACCAGCTGGGCCCTCCCTGCCTCTGTTCCCCAGATGGACACAACCATTGCTGAGGAGACCCGGAATTCAGTGCAAGCAGAAGAGATCAAAGCAAATGAGAAGGCCAGGAAGGCACAAGCTATCGCCGACGATGCCCAGAAGGATCTAGATGAGGCTCTGCCAGCCCTGGATGCTGCCCTGGCCAGCCTGCGCAACCTCAACAAGAATGATGTGACTGAGGTGGGCAGCTGGGCATCTTCCAGGCTCCCCTTGGCATCCCTCCCTTGTGCCCTCTTGGGTCCTGATCTTTCCCTCTACACATCCCTTGGGGGTCATGTGCCAAGAGGTGAGTGCAGAACTAGGGCTTGAACCCAACTGCCTGCCCTTACCTCCTTGTACCAGCCCCCAGGGCCTGGGCAGGCCCATGGGGAGGGCTTTGGGCCCTGAGAAATGAGCATCCAGGACTTTGTGGCCGGACCTGGGTACCTGGGGAATAGTAGATGCCACAGGCTAAGGCAGACATCAGGGGATCCCCTGGCATGCCCTTCGTCTGTAGTGGCAGGGACCTGGTTGGTGGAGCCCCCCTGGTCTGGCGGCTGTCCCTACCCACTCTGTGATAGATCTCCCTCTCCCCAACTCTTGGCCCGGCCTGCAGGTACGTGCCATGCAGCGGCCACCCCCAGGTGTGAAGCTGGTCATAGAAGCTGTGTGCATCATGAAGGGCATCAAGCCGAAGAAGGTCCCTGGAGAAAAGCCTGGCACCAAGGTGGATGACTACTGGGAGCCAGGCAAGGGGCTGCTTCAGGACCCCGGCCGATTCCTGGAGAACCTCTTCAAGTTCGACAAGGTGAGCAGGCCAGCTACCTGACCAGCTAGGAGTGGGTAAGGGCAGCACCCAGTCAGGCAGGGAAGCAGGGAGAGAAGCCCCCCCAACCCCAGTGCTGGGGCCTCCATCCTGTCTCCCTGTGCCTACAACACCCACAGCCCTGTGGCCACAGAGCTGACTGGGACCAGATCCCCGCCCAAAGGAATTCTCTCACTGGTGGGGGTAACAGACCCCCCAATAGATGATTATTGAGGAAATCAGGACTTGGGAAGGCTCATAGGCATCACCCATAGTCACTCAAAGGCTCCAGAGCCTGGGGACTCTTTCTTGTGCACCTTCCTCCCTACCACCCCTATGACCCTGGTTAAGACCTTCACTGGCTGCCTCAACACCTGAGATTTCGCTTCCCCTGTCTGTCTCTGGATTTCTCTGTCTGCCTGTCTGGGGCGCTCAGCACGCACGGGCATGTGCTCTCACAGGGCTGCTTATGGTTAGGTCAACCTGGGGCCCACGGCCCTCTTGGAGGGCTTCTCTCCAGCCCAGAAATTAGCTAGCGGGCCTGTCCCACACAGACCACCGCCCACCACCATGTATCAATATTAGAGCCCCAGGCCGCACTGGGTGAGTAGAGACAATGGCCCATCTCCGTGGCAGGTGGACCCCCTACAGACTTCTTCATCCCTCTAATTAAGCCCAAATCAGGAGGCTCATGGCTAGTGCTCAAGCTCCTCTGGTCCCAGGCTCTGACCTCTGGGAGCTCAGGAACAATGCAGATTTCTGGGCTCATCCTGAACTACAGAGTTGGGTTCTCCCAGGACAAGAGCCCCAGGGGAATGATGGGCTCTCAGGGTGGGGATTATTACCCTTGAACGTGAGCCCGTGGCTGGGCATCAGAACCACTCAGTCTTCTCTACACTTGCCAGGAAGCAGCTCTTATCTTTAAGTGGGTTTTAAATAGGGTCTGTGTATTATCAGATCTTATGGCTGTGTTGTTGCTTGAGGAGGAAATCTCCAGTCGTATTATCTGAAATCTTGGAACACAGAAGTTCCTCTTTTGGCCAGCCTTTCTGGGTTGTGTTTATTCCCTAGGGAGATACCCGTACCGAGGCCTGCACGGGGCATGGGGCACAAAGGCAGGGTCAGGGTATCCCTGAGCAGGCCCCACAGAGCCCTCTCAGTCCTCCCTGGGAAGCAGCCCCTGAGCCCACAGGTTCCATCCCCAGGACAACATTGGGGAGACGGTGATCAAAGCCATCCAGCCGTATATTGACAATGAAGAGTTCCAGCCAGCCGCCATTGCCAAGGTGTCCAAGGCCTGCACCTCCATCTGCCAGTGGGTGCGCGCCATGCACAAATATCACTTTGTGGCCAAGGCTGTGGAGCCCAAGCGGGTGAGGGCTGGGTAGACCTGGGGGGCAGGGGAGGGGGGTGCGGGCTCCCCTGGACACTGGGCAAGCTGGCCCTGTGCCCTCTGCCCGCAGCAAGCCCTGCGAGAGGCCCAGGATGATCTGGAGGTGACACAGAGGATCCTAGAGGAGGCAAAGCAGCGCCTGCATGAGGTGGAGGACGGCATTGCCACGATGCAGGCCAAGTACCGAGAGTGCATTGCTAAGAAGGAGGAGCTGGAGCTCAAGTGTGAGCAGTGCGAGCAGCGGCTGGGCCGCGCTGACAAGGTGCGAGTGTCCCTCCAGGCAGGGCCTGCAGGTGTGGTCTGCCCCCGATGGGCTGGAAGGGCCCAGGTGGTTGGGGGTATTCCTGGGGTGGCTGTGCACACTCCTTCCCCAGCCACCTTGGGGACTGCACCAGGCAGGGACACAGCCCCCTGGCCCAGCCTCCCAGAGCCCATCCCACTGGCTGCCCCTGCAGCTCATCAATGGGCTGTCAGACGAGCGGGTGCGCTGGCAGGAGACGGTGGAGAACCTGGAACACACGCTTGACAACATCTTTGGAGATGTGCTGGTGGCTGCTGGCTTTGTGGCCTACCTGGGCCCCTTCACGGTAAGGAACCCCTAGCCTTGCTTGTGAGAGCCTCACCTCTCAAAGAGTCCCAGCCTTGAGGCCTCACCTCCACAAGGCGAGGCTTGAGGGTGGCTCTTTTCTCACTCACTCATCCAACCTGCACTTATCAGGCTCCCCATCTGAGCTAGGTACTGTTCCAGGCACTGTGTATATGGCAGTGCACAAAACAGCCAGAAAACCCTGGCGGGGCTAGCCTTCCAGAAAGAAGTATGAGCTCACACCTCTGTGCTTGCTGGGTGCCTCTCATTCAGTCCTCATAGCTGCCTGACGGGTGGGCATTGCTGTTACTACCCTTGTTTCACAGATAAGGGGCTGAGGATTACGGACGCCAAGGAAGTTCCAGGGTGCCCTGGAGCTCAGGCATCTGTTTCCACATCTGAGCTCTGGCACAGCTGCCTAGTGCTGGGTGCAGGGGGAAGTGGGAGGGCATCTCAGGAGTCATAGTTGGGTGGCTCTGAGTCTGGCATCTCTCCAGGGCCAATACCGCACAGTGCTCTATGACAGCTGGGTCAAGCAGCTCACGACCCACCACATCCCACACACCTCGGAGCCCACGCTCATCGGGACGCTGGGGAACCCAGTGAAGATCCGCTCGTGGCAGGTGCCCACCCTGGGGGGCTGGAGCAACTGGGCTGGGCCTGCAGAGTGGTCCAGGCTGGGCCAGGGGTTCCTGCCTCCCTCCCACCCTCATTCCTGGGTCTGCTTAGAGATGGCTTCCCTTAACCCACCCAGGGCCAGTCAGAGGGTAATGGGCAGGAAAGGAGAAAGCTGAGCAGAGTGTGGCACAGATGCTGGCTACCTGTGGGCTTGTAAGAGTTGGGGGGCAGTGGGAGAGCAGTGTCCAGAGTGAGGATTAAGAACTCCTGTCCAAGCTAGACCCTGAAGGACAGGTAGAGTTGGCCCCAGGAGAGAACCAAGAGGCTGCAGGCAGAGGCCAAGTGTGAACATGGGTGGGGAGGGCAGATGGGCTGTGGGCTCCACAAAGATGGTCTGACTGCACGAGGATGCAAGAGGCAAAAGGAAGAGAAACCCAGCGAAGGAGGGTGTTGGGAACCAGCCAACAGGAGGGAGACAGTTCCTGGGGACTGAGACCTTGTGCACATTGTCACCTGTCCCCACCCTCAAGGGGGTGCAGTGTGGAGGGGGAGACACAGCTAAAGCATGAGGTTGGGAGTAGCTGATGGCCTAGCTGCCCCTGCTGTGTGAGACCCCCAACCCAGTCTGGCACCTGGTCCCCTGCAGATCGCTGGCCTCCCCAATGACACACTGTCAGTGGAGAATGGGGTCATCAACCAGTTCTCCCAGCGCTGGACCCATTTCATTGACCCTCAGAGCCAGGCTAACAAATGGATCAAGAACATGGTGAGCCCACCCTCTGGGTGCCACCACCCCACCCTTCAGGGCTTAGCAGGTGCAGGGGGAGTGGCTGAGCCGCAGGCTGGCTCTCAGCCCCCGACCCACTCCCACACCCACAGGAGAAGGACAGTGGGCTGGATGTGTTCAAGCTGAGTGACCGGGACTTCCTGCGCAGCATGGAGAATGCCATCCGCTTTGGCAAGCCCTGCCTCCTAGAGAACGTGGGCGAGGAGCTGGATCCCGCCCTGGAGCCCGTGCTGCTCAAGCAGGTGGGCCTGCTGCGGTGGGCGGGCGCGGCCCCCTTCCCCCGCCTCACTGCTGGGGCCCAGGCCACAGTGCTTGCCCATCCCACCCGCCACAGACGTACAAACAGCAGGGGAACACAGTGCTGAAGCTGGGGGACACGGTGATCCCCTACCACGAGGACTTCAGGATGTATATCACCACTAAGCTGCCCAACCCACACTATACACCCGAGATCTCCACCAAGCTCACCCTCATCAACTTCACCCTGTCGCCCAGGTAAGCCTCAGTGCCCCGGGCCCCCACGAGTCAGCTCTGCTTTGGCCTGCCTGCCTGTCCCCTCCCACCCCCAGGCCAGGACTCAACGGGTCTCCCCACTCAGAGGCTCCGCCAGCTTCCTCCCAGGCACCCTGCACTCCAGGCTTTTCTCCCTCCTCTATCAACTCCCCTTACTTGTCACCATTTCTACCCCCAACTCAATCTGATCCCTGGTCAGGACCCCACCCCCAGTCTCCCTGGCCAGCACTAGCCCACCTCGTCCAGGTACCCTTTCCTTACCACTCAGTCCTTGCTAGACCCTTGACCACTCACCCCTAGTGCTGCCTGGAGCCCTGACTGGGGCATACTCTGACTCCCTGCACCCAAGCCCCGTTTCCTGCCCTTGTTGCCCTGAGCCCAGGGACTATGGCTTTTGCTGGCCACCCACACAGAGCCCACAGGCCTGCTCTGTGCTAAGGCCTCCATGCCAGTGGTCCCTGTGACTCTCTCCTAAGACCAGGGGGTGAACAATCCTTAAGGCCTGTCCCTCCCAATCACCCACTGCCCCCTCCTGCTGAGGGAGTTTTTCAGAGACCCGAGCAGCTTACACATTCAACTGCCTGGCCTCTGCTGGGATTCTAGACTGCTACCTGAGGTCTCACTGAGAACTGGTCACTTTGAATCAGGCGCTGCATTCGCCCTGCAGCCTGAGACAGAGGCTAGGCCTCCCAGGCTGACACCAGCAGGGATGTGAGCTCTTGGAGCCCCAGGAGTACAGGTTGATAGGTGAGCAGGCTCAAGGCTGGCCCTCCAGGGCCCATCAGATATTACAGACGTGGTGTCCCCTGCCCCTGGCAGTGGCCTAGAGGACCAGCTGCTGGGCCAGGTCGTTGCTGAGGAGCGGCCCGATCTGGAGGAAGCCAAGAACCAGCTAATTGTCAGTAATGCCAAGATGCGCCAGGAGCTAAAGGACATTGAGGACCAGATCCTGTACCGGCTCAGCTCCTCTGAGGGCAACCCTGTGGATGACATGGAGCTCATCAAGGTGTTGGAGGCTTCCAAGATTAAGGCTGCTGAGATCCAGGTCAGCCGCTGCCTGCCCACCCCTGCCTGCCTCTTCCTGCCTCTCCCTGCCTGCCCCAGGCCTCACCCCTGTCCCCGTGCACCTCTGCCAGTGCTGCTCTTTGCCAGGCTACCTGGGCCTGACTAGCACCCCTCTACTGCACCCTCAGGCCAAGGTCAGGATTGCAGAGCAGACAGAAAAGGACATTGACCTCACGCGCATGGAGTACATTCCTGTGGCCGTCCGCACCCAGATCCTCTTCTTCTGTATGTCTGACCTGGCCAACGTGGACCCCATGTACCAGTACTCCCTCGAGTGGTTTCTCAACATCTTCCTCTCAGGCATCGCCAACTCAGAGAGGGCAGGTAGCTTTGGCACAGATGCACATGTTGACACAAACAACAGGCTCCAGCCTGGCACAGATGTGGCACGCCTGGACATGTTTCTACAGTGGGGGCACACATAGACTCACACCCCCGCTCACTTGTACGCACCCTCATATCAGACACTGCATAAGAACACATATGCCCCTCCTCCCCTCTTCAGGACCCCTTTTTTGGGAATGCCAAATGCCCCACGGGGGTGTCCAGATGGCCCCTGCAGCTGCTGGGGAGATGGGCGGGGCAGGTCCCCTGGGATCTCGCTTCCCTCCCCTCTCCTGTCCCTGCCGTCATCTGTCCGCCCCGCAGACAACCTGAAGAAGCGCATCGCTAACATCAACCGCTACCTGACCTACAACCTCTACAGCAACATCTGCCGCAGCCTCTTCGAGAAGCACAAGCTGATGTTCGCCTTCCTGTTGTGTGCCCGCATCATGATGAACGAGGGCAAGGTCAACCAGGTGCGTGACAGAGAGGAGGCTGCGGGCTGGCCACCCAGGACAGCCTGCCAGAGGAGTGGCCCTGTTCAGGGCCTGGGAGAACGGGGTGGAAGGGAAGGGAAGGCCAGGCTAAAGGTCACAGCAAGAACAGAGGGGCAGAGGCCCCGAAACTGTCCCTTGCTGGGGAACAGCCAGGAACAGGTTCAAGGTGGCCCAGCAGGTCCTGTGCATAGGCCTTCTCAGGGCCTTGAGAGTGCAGGTGAGCACAGATGTCCGAGCTGCCCAGCACACAGTCTTTTGAACCCCAGGTATTTCACAGTGCACTGGAAAGCACTGACCACGTAATGAGAGCGACAGTCACCACTGCTGAGTCCTCACTGTGTGCCAGGCGCTGGGTTCAGGGCTACACTCTCACCTACCCCTACAAAACCCCCTGGAAAGCAGAGTTCTGATTCTTCCTACTTTCCAAATGATGAAACTAAGGCTCAGAAAGATCAAATCCTTGGCCTGTAGGTACACAGCCAGGAAAAGGTGAAGAGGTGACACTAACTCAGACCTGTCCAACTGCCACCCCAAGGGGACTCCATTTCTCTGGCTGAGGGTGGTAGGGGGGCACTGCTGTGTGGGGTGCTGGAGGCAGGCCTCAGGGCTTGGGCGCTAGCCTCCCCCATCCCTTGCCAGAGTGAGTGGCGCTACCTCCTGTCCGGGGGCTCTGTCCCGGTCATGAGCGAGAACCCTGCCCCGGACTGGCTGTCAGACCGGGCCTGGCGAGATGTCTTGGCACTCTCCAACCTGCCAGCCTTCTCCTCCTTCGCCCTGGACTTCGTGAAGCACCTGTCAGAATTCCGGGCCATCTTTGACAGCTTTGAGCCCCACCGGTGAGCTGGGGCCCAGGGCACAGCTGGGTGAGCACATTGAAAGGGTGAGACCCCAGGAACAGGCCTGCCCTGGAGCCTTCTCTGAGGGGCCACCCAGGGTTGCCCTGCAGCTGTGGCTACATCTTTTCCATATCCCTGGCTGGGTACCCCTGGACACCCCACTCTCCCCTGCTGTCCAGCAAGCAGAGTCCCTGTGGCCAGTGCCTTCCTACCAGTCAGCTCTCAGGGAGCCGTGGGCACTGTTGCAGGGAGCCCTTGCCTGGCATCTGGAACCAGTACCTAGACCAGTTCCAGAAGCTACTGGTCCTCCGCTGTCTACGTGGTGACAAGGTTACTAACGCCATGCAGGACTTCGTGGCCACCAACCTGGAGCCACGCTTCATTGAGCCCCAGGCAAGTGCTGCCAACGAGCATCTTAGATAATCCCCACCCTGGGTCCTGGCTGCACCTGGACAGATCACTTTGCAGCCTTGGTTAGGCCAGGACTCCTAGCCACTCCCAGAAGGCTCTGGGAGGTTCCAGGCCCCACCAGCATGCCCCTCTGGGACCTCTCTGGGGGCCCCAGGATCACCTTCCCTTTCCCTAGTCCCCTATCCCTGAGGAGAAGCTATAGGGGGCCCCAACATCTCTCCCTGCCCTGCAGACAGCCAACCTATCGGTAGTGTTCAAAGACTCCAACCCCACCACGCCCCTCATCTTTGTGCTGTCACCTGGCACTGACCCTGCAGCTGACCTCTACAAGTTTGCCGAGGAGATGAAGTTCTCCAAGAAGCTCTCTGCCATCTCCCTGGGCCAGGGCCAGGTAAAGGCAGGCTGGGCAGGAGGAGTGGGGCTGGCTGGCTGAGCCAGCTGCTCCCCCGCTACTCAACACTCGTGTCCCAACAGGGTCCTCGGGCAGAAGCCATGATGCGCAGCTCCATAGAGAGGGGCAAGTGGGTCTTCTTCCAGAACTGCCACCTGGCACCGAGTTGGATGCCAGCCCTGGAGCGTCTCATTGAGCACATCAATCCCGACAAGGTGCGCCAAGGGAATACCAATCTGCCCGCCCAGGACTAATGAGGTTGAATGAGGTTATCCCGCAAAGCACTCAGCCCAGTCCTGGGCACGCAGTGGGCTCAGGAAGTACCACATAACGTGCATCAACTAGATTTATCTTTCCAGTGCCCTCCCAGGTTATTGTTACCAGTCGTGATGTGACTTGCCCACGCCACGGCCACCTGGCACAGACCAGTGACCCTGGGACTTGCTGAAGCCCATATGCTTAACCAGTGGTCCGTGCAGCCTGGCCTGGCCCAACCCAGGGGTGGAGTCAGGCTGAGGGTGGCCCAGGGTCCTGGGGTAGGTGGGAGCCTGGTGTTGGGGCAGCCACCAGGGACGAGTCTCAGTGCTCATGTGGACTGTGGCCACCAGGTGCACCGGGACTTCCGCCTGTGGCTCACCAGCCTGCCCAGCAACAAGTTCCCAGTGTCAATTCTGCAGAACGGCTCCAAGATGACCATTGAGCCGCCACGTGGGGTCAAGGCCAATCTGCTCAAGTCCTACAGCAGCCTCAGTGATGACTTCCTCAATTCCTGTCACAAGGTGAGACACACTTGGCGTGTGCCCCACCCTACCTGCCTCGCTTCCAGCCCCTCCCCTTATGCCCCCTATCTTCTGTCCCCCACCTCCTGCAGGTGATGGAATTCAAGTGCCTGCTGCTGTCTCTGTGCCTGTTCCATGGGAACGCCCTGGAGCGTCGTAAGTTTGGGCCCCTGGGCTTCAATATCCCTTACGAGTTCACCGACGGGGACCTGCGCATCTGCATCAGCCAGCTCAAGATGTTCCTGGATGAGTATGACCACATCCCCTACAAGGTGGGCTGGGGACGGGTTGGGGATGGGGGGTTGGGTGCCTGCGGGGCCTCACCCACCCACCCACCCACCCAGTAGGTCCTCAAGTACACGGCAGGGGAGATCAACTATGGGGGCCGCATCACCGACGACTGGGACCGCCGCTGCGTCATGAACATCCTGGAGGACTTCTACAGCCCCTCTGTGCTCTTCCCAGAGCACAGCTACAGTGCCTCGGGCATCTACCACCAGATCCAACCCACCTACGACCTCAACGTGAGCACACACCTGGGTGGCCTGCCAGGCTGGGGTTGTGGGGTGCCATGAACACCTGGGTGCTGGGAGACCTGGCCCTGCCCTCCAATAGCTCCTTTTCATTGACTGATCCCCGGAGCTCAGGTTTTGTGGGGAGAGGCAAACTCCAGCCTCTCAGCCCCTGCCTGAGGGTAATTACTCTGTGAGGAAGGGGGGTGGCTCCTCTGAGGCTGCCAGCAGAGGCACTGAGGTGGTAACCCGCCCAGACCACACGATCAGGGAGGGCTCCCTGAGGAAATGATGTTTCAGCTAAGATGTGTGAGGAGCAGGCAGGGCAGGGTGGGGCACCGCAGTGTAAAGGGCCTGTGGCAAGAGGGGCTGTGATAGGTTTCAGCAGCTGAATAAAGAAGCAGGATGCTGAAGGTCCTACTGTATGGCATAGGGAACTATAGTCAATATCTTGTAATAACCTATAATGAAAAAGAGGTATATATATATTTAACTGAATCACTATGCTACACACCAGAAACACAACATTGTAAGTCAACTATATTTTAATTTAAAAAAAAAGGCAGCAGAATGCTGCACAGCAGGGAAAAGGGGGCTAGGAGGGAGCAGAGATCATGGAGTCCCAAAGGTCCCAGGGAGATGCGTAAGGGTTGCAACCAAGAGTGACGTGTCGGGGATGGGCTCAATTGTAGGGCCACCCTCCAGGCTGAGGGTAGAACAGGGCAGGGGTTTCAGCGTGACCCTCCTACCTCCCAGGGCTACCTCTCCTACATCAAGAGCCTCCCACTCAACGACATGCCTGAGATCTTCGGCCTGCATGACAATGCCAACATCACCTTCGCCCAGAATGAGACCTACACCCTGCTTGGCACCATCGTCCAGCTGCAACCCAAATCGTCCTCTATAGGTGGCCAGAGCCGGGAGGAGGTCAGTGGCTGTAGCGGAAGGGGCCCAGTGGTTAGGCAGGGCCAGTCTTCTACCCAACCGTCCTGCCTGCTCCCCTGTGGGAAGGAACTCTGTGCATGTAGAACCCTGTTAAGTGTGAAGGGGGACCAGTTCTGACCCCCAATGTCCCTTGGCCCCCACAGATAGTGGAAGATGTGGCCCAGATCGTTCTACTCAAGTTGCCTGAGCCCATCAACTTGCAGCAAGTGATGAACAAGTACCCCGTGCTGTATGAGGAGTCAATGAACACAGTGCTAGTACAGGAGGTCATACGGTAATCCCCCTGCTACCCCCAGCCCTGAGTCAGCAGGCCACTGTAGAGAAATGCAGCAAGGGCCACTAGGGGCCAGATGCCACACCAAGTGCTATAAACTCATCCTCTAACTCAGCCACATTTTTATTATTCCCATTTTACAAATGAGTAAATCAAGTTCCAAAATGTTTAAGTGACCTATCTAAGGTCATACGTGTACTAACAGCCAGAGTTGGGACTGGTACCTAGGCCGCCCAACCCTGCTCTATGCTCTTAGGCCCTATGTTCTGCCATCATTTTTTGGTCTATGTCTTACAGCTGGGGAGAGTGGTCCACACGGCCCTGACCACTGCCTTCCTCCTTGCTACTGGCTCCATAGGTACAACCGGCTGCTGCAAGTGATCACACAGACGCTGAGAGACCTGCTCAAGGCACTCAAGGGGCTGGTGGTAATGTCCTCGCAGCTGGAGCTGATGGCTGTCAGCCTATACAACAACACTGTGCCCGAGCTCTGGAATGCCAAGGCCTACCCATCACTCAAGCCACTGTCCTCATGGGTCATGGACCTGCTGCAGCGCGTAGACTTCCTACAGACCTGGATAGATGGAGGCATCCCCACTGTCTTCTGGATCAGTGGCTTCTTCTTCCCTCAGGCTTTCCTGACAGGCACCCTGCAAAACTATGCCCGCAAGTCTGTGATCTCCATTGACACCATCTCCTTTGATTTCAAGGTCTGGACACAGCCAGGGCCAGGTCAGGTGACAGGCTGGGGTGTGGCCCAGGCAGGCAGAGCACTGTGGCCACAGCGGGCTGGCAGAATCAGGGGACCCCTAAGCGGGGGTTGGCGGACAGGAAGAGCCAGGCCAGAAGAGACCATAAGCCCCAGGTAATTCCATCAGGGCAGGGCACAGACTATAGGCTACCAGCTAAAATGGCAGGTGACGGGCAGGAAGCAGAGCCCTCAGGAGGGAACTTGTGCCTCCTGACCCAAATCCTAACCCAGATTGTGAGTGTTTGCACATTTGGGGTGGGGGTGTTCTGTGCCCACCACAGGTGATGCACGAGTCAGTGTCGGAGCTCAAGACAAGGCCCAAAGATGGGTGCTTCATCCATGGACTGTTCCTGGAAGGTGCCCGATGGGACCCTCTGGCCTTTCAGCTGGCTGAGTCTCGGCCCAAGGAGCTCTACACAGAGATGGCCATTATCTGGCTCCTGCCAACACCCAACCGCAAGGCCCAGGACCAGGCCTTCTACCTGTGCCCCATCTATAAGACGCTGACCCGTGCTGGTATGGGGCCCAGGGCTGGGATTCTACACCACAGGTGGGGGCCCAGGGCTGAGCCAGCCCAGGCCAGTTAGGCTGACCCAGGTTAGCTGAACAGGATGGCCGACAGAGGTCAGTCGGCACCCCTGAAACTGACCAGGCTAGGACAGAGCTGGGCCAGCAGCAGAGTGATGCCCAGGGACTGGTTCAGCATCTGTGCAGAGTGAGTGGCCCCGAGGTCACGTCCTCTTGCCTCCCTCTGCAGACCCACCTTGGGTCCTGGGAGCCAGCCAACAGAGGTTCAGAGAGGGTAACAGACCTGAAGAGGCATGGTGGGCCTGGGTTGGGTCCAGCAGGGAGTAAGCAGGGGCATCAACTCTCCCATTCCTATCCTCAGTTGTCAGTGCAGTAACCCGGGGCAGGCCTGAGCCCTGACCACACTTGCCAGACAGGCTTCCTCTTGGGTCAGGGCCCCCTCCTTGTCCCGAGCTCAGTCTGCCAAGTCCACTGCCTCTCTCTGTACTCTGTTCCTGCCCGAGTTGAAGCAGACAATTTAACTTTCGCACTTCTTGCCTGCTCCAGGAACACTATCAACCACAGGCCACTCCACTAACTACGTCATCGCTGTGGAGATCCCCACCGACCAGCCCCAGAGACACTGGATAAAGCGTGGTGTGGCCCTAATCTGTGCCCTGGACTACTAGACCCAGACAGAAGGGCTGGAGCCATTAAAGTTGCACTTCCGAAGCAGTCCAGCTGAGCCTTCGCTGCTTACACCAGGCACCTCCTGTAGGACCCACTGCCATGGAAACAGCGGGGGTGAGGGGCTGCAGTGCCAAGAGAGAATGTAGTTAGCAGGGGGAAGAGCAGCAGAGGTGGTAGCCTGACCTGCTGGATGTGTCCAAATGCAAGAGAGTCCTGTAAGGTCCCAAGGTCCCTCCAGTGACAGCATACCAGAAAGGACTAGAGGCAACTTTGCCTCCTCCGCTGAGTCCCAACGCCTCTCAAGACTGCAAAGCCATCAGATCTGGTGAGAGCCATGGCCCTCTCCTCCCAAAGTACACCTTGCACACAACTGTTCAAATTCCATAGCCCACCCAAAGCCCTCCTCAGCTTGGATCCTAAATCCCCAGCCTAGGGCCCCAAGAATCTCTGGTCCAGAAGGGGAGGCTGGATGCCTAGCGTGCATACTTCTTACCTCTCTGGTCACACAAAGGGCACTGGGGACTTGTAGGTCCTCAGTCCCACTGCAGCCTAATCTACAAACCTCAGGACAGCAAACACAAGAGGGCTCATTTTTTAGGAGAGTTTTATTCATTCATTGATCTGATATTTACAGGGGCCCGAGGGGTCAGGCTGTGCTCAGTGCAGAGAGGCAGCTACCATAACTGCCAGCCAACCCCTACCCTGATCACTATGTACAGATAAGGGGCCTTGAAGGTACTTGGGTCACCTTCAAAGCCACCTGCCAGAGGCCATCAGGCTGTATTTGGGGCCTGAGCTCCAAAAGCAGTGCTGGTCCCATTAGCCCTTGGCATCAGGCCCTCTGGGAACACGGGGGCTCCAGCTGGTTGTCTTGGTCCTGCTGCCCCCCACCCTGAGTGCCTTGCAGAGGCTGAGAAAGCTGGCATGGCAGGGAGAGCTGAGTGGTGCCAGCTTCCTGCAAGCAGCCCTATCTCTGCTGTCCCTAAGAGGAGGGAGACACAGTAATACTGAGGGGCTGGGCAGAGGCTCCTCTCAGCCAAGGGATAGAGCCCAAGACAGGCCCCTTGCTAGGGCCACAACACTGAAGACAAAAGAGCCCATGGCCTTGCCACAGAGAGAAGTCTTGACAAACCCAGCTGGAGTCAGGGAGTTTATAGGCCACCAAACAGTTCAAACAAACACCTCTCTGCTCAGGCCATGGGACCCCAGCAGGACGTTCATCCCATCCCTGCTGGGACACCCTCCTCCTAATCTAGCCCAGCAGCCGGGTCCCTGAGTTTGGAGCTCTCCCAGGAGGAATGAAGAGTAAACCTGGCTTCCTCGCAACAGGGACGACTAATGATGGGCTAGAGCAGCAGGGCCCACTGCCCACCCAGGCCCCCAGTGGTGACCCTGCAGTAGTGACCCTGGCATGATGCAGGGACTTGGGCCCTTCAGGATGACAACTGTTAGGAGAGAGCACAGAGTCAGAAAGCTGACTATGTCAACACAGTGGTGCCAAGATGGGTTAGAGCCCAGAAAAATAGACGTCTCTGTAGGTAAAATATATATTCTGCTGCCCAGGCAGGAAGGACAGGTCCTGCTGCTCCACAGCCAGCTGTGGAGGAAGCTGCAGCACCTCAGTGTGCCCAGCTCCAACTGCTGCTTTCAGAGCATGACAGGGCCGACCTGCCCTGCCAAGCCCTGGAGCACGATGCAGAGAATCCCAGCCTGGCTCCCATCCCCCAGGTCTGGGCTCTCTGACTGCAACTACTCAGTAATACTGGGAAGAGGGCGAGTGGGGCAGCGGAGGGACCCTGGGGAGGGCCATGCGGCAAGAGCAGGTGGCAGAGTCAGGGCCAGCGGTCCTCACTGGCGCTTGGCTTTGTAGGGGCGCGAGCGTTTCCGCCGGTCAGGCTTCCGCTGCTTGTGGAGCCGGCCAATGCTGACCCCTTGGCGCCGCCGCACTGAGATGTTCTGCTCCACTAGGTTGGCCAGCATGCCTGCGGAGAGGCACAGGCCCTTGAGCAGGTGGCTAGATGCCCAGCAGCTGCCGGCTTTCTCAGCCCTCCCTGAGACCCTAGTCTGCTTAAGTCCCCAGAGAGACCTGAAGGAAGGGGCCTGAGGGCCACGGCTCTGAGCAGGGCCTGCCAGGTAGGATGCAGGAGTGACACCCCTCACCTTCCTGAGCCAGCATGGAGATGAAGGTGCAGATGAACTCATCGTAGTTGTGGGTCCTTCTCTGGTCGTCAATCTGTGGGAGAGAAGGATGAGGACATGAGGACGCTGCAGCCATCTCCTCAAGAGCAGCCGCCAGCTGACCTCAGCAGGTCGCACCTCTGGGAAGACAGGCAGAGAAACAGGCAGCTGGAGAGAGGGCCCACCTTGAACTTCTTCCTCTTCTCCACCTCTTCCTTGAGGCAAGCCTCATAGTTTGCAATCTCGGCCTCCACACACTTCAGCAATGCCAGCAGCTCCTGCCAAAACCCAGCAATTGCACCCATGAGGAGGCTGACCACCGAAGCCTCACTCCCAGGAAGCAGCTACGGACAAGAACAAGCAGCCAGAGTCCCTGGAGCCTATCAAGGCCCCTGCCGCTACCCAACCCAGATGGGCTTCCTGGCACCTGGCTTCAGCCACCACCCCTCACACCGAAATTTCAACCAGGAATCCAGCACCTGGGCAGCACTGCCCTAGGCCCTGCCCTGGTCAGGATTAGAAGGGAAAACCACAGACGGGCTCACCTTGGGTGAGTACTTCTCCCCGCTCAAGGGCTCACTAGGCCTGACCAGCCCAGGCTTCTCTCTGCTGTCCACAGTTTCCACTACCTCCTTCTCCTCTGGGCTGCCAGACCCCTGGCTGCCTTGGCTCGGTCTGATGGAAGGTGAGGAACCCTTCCCACCCTCTGGGAAGACAAGGCATAAGAAGACCCATCAGAGTGCAGGACATCTGGGGTCACCTGGCCACTTCCCTCCTCAGTACACCACCAAGAGGCCAGTGAGCCAGCCCAAGGCCCACCTGTCAGTGCTAGGGGACTCAGCACGCCGTCCTCAGCCAGGTGCAGCAGGCCTGTGCTGATGACAGGACCCAGGTCTCGTACAGCGCGATTGTAGCGGATGCAGTCAACACGCAGCAGGCTGTCATCCTCTCCAAAAAGCACCTTGGAGATGTGGGAGGTGACGGGGCTAGAGGGTCGTGTTGGGTTGGCCGAGCGGATGGGTGAGCGCAGTGGCGAATTGAAAGCACTGCCGATCTCAGAGGCTGTGTCCGTGCTCTCATTGCTGGGGGTAGGTGAGGGCTGCGAGTGCATGGGTACTGCCACAGCCGGACTCCCGGCCCCGCTGCTCGTCTTGATGGTCAGAGGGATTGAGAGGTCTTTCTGGGACTCTTTGAGCTTCTCGGCCAAAACGTTGATGGTGTTGGGCTGCAGCACTGACAGCTGCCCATCCCCAGAGCCACTCAATGGCCCTGGCTTCCCCGGCCCCTTTCGCTTATACCTGTAGGGCCCAAGGAGAGGTGAGCCAAGGGAATGGGCCAGGTGACCACACCCAGCAGTGCCCAAAATGACCTGAACACAGCCTGTCCTCTGGGAACTGATCCTGCAGCTCTAGCAGCCTGGCCGGCCATGCCAAGCCTGGGACCCTGAGCTCTGAAGCTACAGCCAGGGGTCCTCAAAGGACACCTCTATTCCAGATGCCTCACTTCCAGCCTTTAACCAATCCTGTTTTCCAGCAAAGCTAGCCTCATCTCCTCCATCCTTGCTTCATCTTTCAAAGCCTAGACAAAAGGCCACCTCCCAACAGGACGTGCCTTGATGTCTAGTTACTGTGCATGGCCCTCCCAACAAGCCCTCCAAAAACTTCTTAGGAGCCCCTTCATGTCAGCCTCTCCCAGGCCTCACACTCAGCAGGTGCTCAGCATCATCTGCTGAAGGGCATTCTCAGGGCTGGAACACAGAACCTGCAGCACTCAGCCTCCAGCCTCACAGAGCAAGGGCTGACCTGATAGCAGAGTTGGTGTTCTGCACATCATCCTCCTCATCATCCTCGTAGTCATCCTCGTCATCTGAGTACTGCTGGGGTGGGCGGACTGGAACTCTGCTGCGGCCCACACCTGCTGCCAGGTCTTCCTCCTCCTGGGGCAAAGACCCAGGGAGGCCATGAGCAGGGGCCAGTCAGCCCAGGCTGGGCACACCAATCACAGCCAGAAAGCCAATATGGCTCTCCAGACTGGGTCCATTGAACCCCTCCAGGTGCTTCAGAGCCCACCCCTGGCTGCTAAGAAGCTGCAGCACACCCATACTACCTGCCTACATGGGGCTTCTAAGAGAAACAGTGCCCTGAAATACCTGCCTTTATTTTGCCAGTAGAACCCACCCTATGCCCTAAACATTTAATCCCATAGCCATGTGACTGAATTTAAAGTCCGAGGTGCTCTCTCTCCCTCCTTAAGTCCCTGTGGTTGTGGGGCCTTCTGCATATTAGAAAAACTTGGTTACCTAGGCCTGAACAGGGGGCAAACACCAACAAACCAACCGAGAAAACTGCCTATTGCAAACTCTCAAGAGAATCCTCACAGCTTACCTGCATGGGGGACTTGGCATAGTTGTGATTGTCCAGAAAGGCCGGCAGCCGCTGGACAATAGGAGTAGGGTTGGGGGGAACCCCGTTGAGGCCACTTCCTGGAGGCTTCACCACCAGCTTGGGTTTGCTGGGAGGACTGTGGGATGGGGCTTGTGGGCATGAACCAGCCACCTCCTCCACACCATCTGAGAGGGCGAGGAGCACAGGCAGGACTTTCAGCCACACCTTTAAGAAAAGCTGGCCCCAGCCCACTGTCTCCCTAGTCCTGGGACACAGCACTGCTCCCTTCTCTTCCCAGAGAAGAAAGGCCGAGCCAGCTGATGAGTTGAGAATCAGCAAGCTCTAAGTCACAGGCCCACAGTGAGACAAGAGAAGAACAAGATGAAAAAAAAGAGCAGAAAGAAAAGCCTCTAGAGAAAAGCAGAAAGGGAACATTCACTAGAGGGACAGCTCAGGGGCCTGTGGTAATGGCAGTCCTTTACAGGTGCCTTTCTTTAGGGCAGGACTGCTCTCCGTCCATGTTCCAAGGGGAGGGGGCCTCCAGAAGGAGCCTCTGAACCTCTGTGCAAGCACCTCCATAGAAAGGCTTGCTCTGCCCGGCCCTCCACATGAAGTTATGAGTGGGTGGCTCTGAGGCTCACAAGAGGCTCCAAACCCTCAGTACCTGTGTGGTTACCCTCAGAGGCCGCCGTGGCCCTGCTTGCCTCCAGCGCCAGGGGGGACTTGCTGCTGGCTGGTTTGGACTCTTCAGGTAACTGTGACTCTTGAGACTTGTGGGTCTGAATTAGCTCTGGCTGCGTGACCCTAATCAGCTGAAAACAAAATCCAAGGCACAAAGGAGTGAAGGCAGACCCTAGTTCCTACCTTGGACAGCTAAGGGCCTTGGCTCTACCCACTCACTCAAAAGGAAATACAACAACTGAACCTCCTTTTAGGGGCTGTTCTCCCCCTCCCCATGCCAAGTCCCACCTTTCCCACAAAGGAAACAAAGGAAAGGTGTAGTTAATTGAAGCCCAGATCCACACTAGAGAGTGATTTGGAAATCAGAGACGGATGCCCCAGTGGAGGGAAGGAGTGGGTGGCTGCACAGGGACCAGGAAGGAGAGATACACACCTGCTGCAGGGCCTCCAGTACTGTCTGACGGTTCACCTTCAGCACATGCAGCCTGGCCTCGTACTTGATCCTGCGGTCGGGCACCACCGCCATCAGGTTGAAGCGGATGTCATGGTAGGGCTCCCTGCAGTCACAGCCGTGGCCGTGAGAGCAGCTCTCGCCCTGGCCCCGCCATCAGGTTGAGGCAGATATCCTGGCAGGGCTCCCTGAAGTCACATCTGCAGCCACAGGTATAGGCCCCACCCCAACAGGTGGACAGCAGCTGGCCACGCACGCCAGCCACCTGAGCTGGTGCCTTCCAACAAGCTGTGTAAGGTGCCTGTCAGAAAGTTAGCCAGCACACCTGGGCCACCCAGGGTTCCACCACGGCCTGCGCCTCCTTAGCCTATCCTGAAGCAGGCCACATGCAGCCTGGGTAGGAAATAGGTCAAGGCACTGGGAGCCCAAGATCTAATCCTGATCTTGCCAGATTCATCATGTGGCCTTGCACAAGCCACCTGACCTCTCTCTGCCTTGGTTCCCTTTTCTCCATCCCTCCCAATGAGGAGCACATCTCCAGAGGGTAAGACAGGTGCAGGGTGCTTACCCTGCAGTGGCAAGGCCGATACGCTCCATGATGACCCGCCGGGCCTTGTCTGTCCACTCCTCATCCTCCCCCCAGGGCCCTGGGGAAGACCAAGATGAGGAGTCAGCAGGTGGGAAGCCCTGAGCTCAGGCAGGCCAGGAGTAGGAAGGAAGATGGAGAGCAGGAGAGCCAGAGTTAGGGGTTAAGTGGACTGCAGAATGCAGTGCAGGGTGCCATCCAGCCAGAACCAGATGTCCCCAACACACACACACACCG